TGTTGTAGTAGCCATACACTTTTATATATAGTATTCCCTTTAACTGAAATAGTACAATATTATTGTTGAAATGAGTACTGTCATTTACAAATTGTTATATACTATCCATTGGAATATCTTTTCTTTATTATTGTAATAATTTCATACTTGTCTGTTATGGGCTCTAAATTAGAAAATAAATGTTCTGTTCTATATCGTAATTACAGAGTATTTCTATTTTGTAAATCCCATTTTGTCTATCGTCATATTAAGGTGAGGGGACAGCTTCGAGGGAAACAACTTGTATTTCGTTGCTATTATTAACGATGCAAGGGAAGTAACTCGAATTTCGTTGCTATTATTAGTCACGTGACAGCAATCGTCAAAATAGCAACAATAAACTGTCATGGCGGCGGTAAGTACCGAGTTCTTTCGGTTCACAATTTGCAGATATGTATGTATGCTGTGTGTTGGGGTTCAGAACAAAAATATGACTTAATTAAATGTAGCTCGTCACTTTTTACCATAAACTGAAAATCGTATTTGATTTTAATCACAATCCTTCAAGTTATCGATATAAATCCAAGAAGATAACGTGTTTCATACCTTGTTGACTTCGTATAAAAATGCCCTTTTACAGAATTTTTGGAAACATAGGACGATTTCACTAATAAAAACTTTATATATCGGATACAACAATTTATTTGGCTCTAAATTCGCTCTTGAGTACATCTGGGGGGACAAATAAAGAATTCTGTAGACACGTTTTTTCCTTAGATTTTATTATGTGTATTTGAAGTTTTGACTCTAAATAGGACAAAAAAATGTTTGAATAGATAATCAAGTCAAAAACAAATATTTTATTAATGTTTGAAATATGTGTCACGTAACACATGACAGACATGTAACATAACATGACAGACGTATGATAAAACGTGACATGATTAAATTACATTTCTGAATCTTAGCAATAAAAATAATCTGTAAAAAATAAAATTAAACAATTCTTTAAACAATGCAAAAATTTTTTTCACTCTTACATAGAAGAAAAGATTTTTAAGCTACTTTTGATACACAAACTGATGATCGTAACACTGACAGACTCCTTTACTTAGCCCGCCAAAAAACCCATAAACTTTCATTATTTTTCAAAAATATAATGTTGCCGTAAGAAATGTACATTATTCAAATTTTGATTCCTTATAGATTTTAAATTTGAATTTTTAAAAAATAAATCTCTGCTATACACTTTGTAACATACAAAATTTCCACCATGTCTGTCATGTTACGATATTTCTTGAGCAATATCTGTTTGAAACAAGCCAATAAAATTTATCATTCAAAGCTTATCTTTTATTCTTGGAAATTATAATACGCAAGACATTATTATTTATGAAAATACTAATGAAATTTAAAAAAATAAATTATTTCATATAGATCAAACCTATATCGTAACATGTATGGATGCACATAACCCTGACAGACTCGTTTTAAAAACTGCAAGAAAACAAATACAAAATTGTATTGTTTAAGTTATAAAGATAAATTTTGCCTTATGATACACTAATATTTTTAAATAAAAATACTTTTTGGTTTAATTCACTGAACGTATAAATCTGAGAGCACCTGTTTGATTCACGTAACATGAACAGACATTCGTTTTGTCCGTCACCGTTACAATAGTACTCAGGCAATGTCTGTCAATCGGTACGTTATGTAAGAAATGTCAAATTTTAAGTGTTGATATAGTGATGAAGAGCATGCAAATTCATATTTTTAAAAAGAAATCCAAAATACACCTACTAGCTGACAATATTTGATGATATGTGTTTAAAATCTAGGATAAAGACAACTTATATTTTCATGAACGTAACATACTTTGTGTAACGTAACACTTGACAGACTAACGTTTGTGGCTTCTCGGGCTCTCTCTGTTACTACGGTAGCTCTTCTTATCGAAATGTAAACACATTTGCATAGAACACTGGAGAAAATTTAAATATTCATAACCTTTAAGTCAAATGTATAAGAAGAAGCATCTCCGAGCTCCATTCTCAAAATAGAACGTAACGCCCACTTGCCATGACAGACACAGGAAGCATCCCACAGATTTGTTAATTTCTAAGCACACGTGCTTTTCTCTTGAATCTGCGATCACTTAATTGATAAACAGGTAAATTTTCTATCAGTAGACAAGAAAGATAAAATAGTTTGCATAAACAATGGCCCATTTTGTAACAATGTACCCAGTGTATTGAGTCTGACAGACGTTACATTCAAAATATGAGAAGAAATATATTCCAATTTTTCTTTTATTTTAGATATAATGTGCATTAAAATACTTTTGTATGTTAATTTTATCCTTCCTAAACAGTAGTGAATGAAGATATTCTGTGTACAAGGTATTATCGCTGTATATTTGACTTTTATTTTGACACGGTTGAAAATGTCCCCCTACACATGCGTAATTCTAGTGGAATTATCAAATTCATTTCAAGAAAAAAAGTAAGTTGATGAAAAAATCTGATTATTTTATCTTTTTTATATATTTGCAATATACTTTTCAATATGAAACATTTCTTATTTCAATTTTTTAAATAATTTATTTTATATTCCTCTTGTTAAAATCATAGGTCAAGATGTACTCAAGAGCGAATTTAGAGCCATTTACACTGCTTATATTCCCTGTTTGTATATACATGTATTATCAATGTACAACTTACTATAACTTTAATTATTAAGAATAGTAGAAACTAGTTGATCTTTAGAAAGTAAATTTGCTTAGGAAAGAAGATTGATAGATATCAATGTTGAGACATCTAAACATGAGTGTCATGTAAGTCCTTTTTCAAAGTTCTTCTATGATCTGTTGACTTGTTGATTTTTTTTCTTTACTTTTTGTAGTTTGTTGTTGTTAAGCATTTCACTTTTTTTCGTGAACATTTTAAGAATCCCTGTTTGGATCAAATTTATTGAATTTGAATCACATTTTGTGTATATGAACATATATGGGTTACTGTAATTTTGAGGTCAACTAGTGAATGAATTTTTTCCACTTTATATCTGAATGATTTATTCTCTTTTATTCAGATTCAAATATCATTACATGTACTATCATTCATCATGTTCATGGTGATATCACCTGTTGTAACTAAACTGCTTTTGGAATAAGCATTTCCTAGAAAATATTTAATTTACTTATTACTGGTGGGGAGAGGGGGTGTTACAAAATCTGTCAATTAAAAATGAGAATTATACATTCACTGCATGTGTATTTTCTTTTTTCACCCAAAGCAAAACAATCATACAATAAGATATGATTTGGAGACATATAGTTTTAATTTTACAAATTTCTGGTAATGACAATTTCTAATTTTTATTAAATTTAATCTAAAAAGTCATAGAGAGGCTAGTAACAATTACCTTGCAGTTATCTACCTTACTGCAGCTCTTTTGTAGGAAAGTTGAAGAAGCTTAAAATCTTGTGAGATTTCCGGGACATAACATTATTTACATTAGTGACAATTGAATCATTTAAACAATTAGTATGACGAAAGTACTATATATTGCAGAGGTTGGGACCCCAGATGTTAGATCATCTAATTCAGAATGTCTTGAGTATAATTTTGACTTCCAAATGTAATGATTATAAGAAAAAATGGTTGAATTATTCAGTCGAGGAGTTGACCTTGCAGATTATATTACTATAAAATGTAACATAAGAAGATAGCTCCTCTTAGGTTTATCGCTGAATGTTCAGCAAGATGTTCACCAGTTTTTCTTTATTATGTGTCCTTAAAAAGTCTACTAACAGTGATAGATCTTGTGGCATATTCAACACTGCATTGTCCCCAGCTAATTTAAATGTATTTTTAAAAAGTACACCATGATTTTTTAATAAGTCTGGCTTATTGAGTATATGATTATGAAAAGTAAATATTTAATTAGTCCCCTACCGGTGAAACCGGAGGGGACTATAGGTTTCCTCTGAGTCTGTCCGTCCGTCTGTCCGTCCGTCTGTCTGTCCGTCTGTCTGTCCCTCTGTCTGTCTGTCAGTCTGTCCCACTTGGTTTTCCGCACTTTTTTCCTAAACGCTTGCAGATTTTGAGCTGATTTTTGGTATGTGAGTGTATCTTGATGAGTTACAGATCAAGTTTGCATTTCATTCCGCTTCATTGATTTTTGACGGAATTACGGCCTTTTCAATTTTTACGGGTTTTCCGCAATTTTCTTCTAAACGCTTGTAGATATTTAGCTGATTTTTGGTATGTGGCTTTACCCTGATTAGTTATAGATCAAGTTTGCATTTCGTCCCGCTTCATTAATTTTTGACGGAATTATGGCATTTTCAATTTTTAACGGGAACGGAACCAGATTACACTTGCCGGTAGGGGACTTGTATTGCTAATGCAGTACTCTCAGAATGCTTGTTTCTATAGCTTGTTGTTCGATTTTACATGCAGTAATTCACCAAGTCCGTTCACATAAGTGTATTCCTTCAACATATTTTAGTGTTATACAGTGCATTTACTTCCTTTTCACTAAAACTGTTAAAATGAGGTTGCTTTATTTAATTTAAAAAAAATAGTATTTTCTTGAATGCATTGTTCACATTCAGCATAATTATGTTATTATGCAAGAGACAAAAGTGAGATAACCATAAATAGGGTTTTAGTTTATTAATAATTTACATGATTGTATTGTATATCAAGTGATTAAATTGGTAAAAATTCAAATATATCTGCCATAAAATGGCTGATACCACTAATAGGTTTCTTAAATTACTTTAAATTTTTCACCAGATTCTTTTGTGAATCAGAACATTTCTCAGTTTTCTGGAAGGCATACATTGTATGTATTCACATTAGAAAGGTTAAAGAGTTTCAAGTTCTTTGAAATAAACATTATGCTGTAATAAACTCCAAGACCTTTGCCTTGGAGTTTAACTTTTAACTCAACGAAATTTTTATATTTAGTGTACTTAAACATATTTTCTTATATCTTTTCCAGGTAAAGATATGACAATGATATAGACACAGGACAGAACATGAAGTTTTCTGTCCCCAGATAGATACTCATGGATCTCTACAATATACATTGGATTTTATCTCGTTATATCACGGATTTATAGTTTATTGATATATATTTTACAAGAAAAAGAAGATGAATCGATACCAGATAATAAAACAGTTAGGGGATGGGACCTATGGAAGTGTGCTGCTGGCCAACAGCGCTGAGACAGGAGAAAAAGTGGCAATCAAAAAGTAAGTTCATCAAATCCATCTCATTAGTCATGGCTGCATTGATCCATTGCTTTCTTGTAATTAATTCCACATACTGCGTAAAATTGCCTTCACAAAATCCATACTTTCTACGCATCAATTTGATTAACTTTTCTTGTCATATCTTTTTATGTTAATTGTAAAACTTTCAGAACATTCGTTTTTGATTATTTTTTTATGCTTGTTAAGTTTTTCATCATGCAGTATGTGTATATGAGTATGTGTGTGTGTTAAATTACATTCATACAGTTTCGATGCATTTTAAGAGATTCAGCAGGTTTCAGATACTTTTTAAATCAACCACTGTGAACTTCTGATAAGCAGCTGCAGGTTTAAGTATATACCGTGGTATGTACTAGGTCTTATATACTGATATATACGATGGCCGATAGCGGCCGTCAATTTACACTAACGTTATGTGTGTAACATGTACAGCATTTTCAATGAAAACTCACTGACACATTACACCCAAAAGGAAAAGTGTACAAAGTGTACAGTGTCAAAGCAAATTTCATGTACACTCTACACCAACGTTTTATGTGTAAAATGTCAGTAAAACTTTCATGTACACTCTACACCTAAAGGTGATATCAAGATTCAAAACAGATCCAATGTTTCTTTATCGTGCTGCTCCCTCAAAGTGCCTCTTGATGTTCACATAAACCTGAAGTAATTTTTATTTATATTTTCGCTATAAGGAAATGGCTAAATAAATGCGTCTGTCCAGTAGAAGATATCAAACAGTTCATATAGTTCTGGAAGTGAAAAATCTTGTTTCTAGTAAATATGGATGAAAGGTTATAATACATTTCAAAATATATATAGTGAATCATTTTCTTTTACTTAGCAGTAATATTTACAATGTGAAATGAAAACAAGAATTGTTTTATATTGTGTGATAATTATCGCTTTCCATTTTTTGACTGGAAAATTTGAATGCTGATGTACCTCTCCTACTGGCAGACTGATCCATTTTCCAAGCTGTGTCCTAAATAGCATTTTCGATAGTTATTATCATGATCTGATTAAGTACCTGTAATTTAATTGATGACCCTTTTAAACCTTTCATAAAATACTAATTTTGCTCTTTACTGATTATTTACCAAAGAACTTAATTTGCCAGCATTTCCTCAGGCCCCAAAACCATAAAATGAGAATAGACCTAAGTCAAAATTTTGATTTTTTAGCATCTTGAATTTTTTTTTATATTGTTGCTTAAAAATTTGCAATTTTATATAACATTTAAACTGGAATATATGATGAAAATTTGGTTTCAATATCAAAATTATTTCAAAAGTTATATTGGTTTGAAATTTTGACTTAAATCTATTCGCAGTTTATTGGTCTTGGGGCCAGATCTATGTGAACTTCAAGAGGCACCTTGCGGGAGCAACGCGAAGAAACACGTCTGGTTCCGTTTTGAATCTTGATTCACCTTTAGATGTAGAGTGTCCCTGAAAGTTTTTCTGACACTTTACACACATAACTTTGGTGTAGAGTGTACACGGAATTTGTTTGACACTGTACACTTTGTACACTTTTCCTTTTAGGTGTAATGTGTCAGTGAGTTTTCAGTGAAAATGCTGTACATGTCACACACATAACGTTAGTGTAAATTGTCGGCCGCTATCGGCCATCGTAGATATATGAAGCAGCAACAAGCCACAGCTACACTAGCTAGCTTAAAGATGTAAATGACAGACTAGCTAGCTTAAAGATAAGTTTCTTACTTTTACTCTAGCTACACATTCTGTATACCATACCCCATACCAAAACTGTAAATTTAAAAAAAAAAAAAATGTTTGTACTTTATAGCAAAATGGACTACTAATTTTTTGTGGATTTTACATATATATAGAAGTTACATATATATAGAAGTATCCTATTGTAGAGCTTAAAGTCTCTTTGTATTTTTTTTTTAACTTTATTTGTGGCATTATTGGCATGTTTCTGTATCACAAGGTATAATCAAATCTCCATCAATGACAGACTAAGCATGTACAATTTTAAACAGTCATTGACATATGGAACTTTGTTAAACCATTAAGGCCTAACTCAAGTATTCTGTAAATCCTCTGCTATATATCCTATAGTTCAGATATAGTGTTGATTCTTATGTACATTTAAAGGCTTTGAAGACAGGTGTAAAATAAATTAGCCTTTGACATCTTTAAAAACTTTAAGAAAGAAAGACAGAGAGAATCAGATATCTTTATAGCATCTGCATGGCATAATATTTATAATATTCATCTTAATTTAATGCAATTCTTCTTTTAGAGGATACTAAGTAGATAGTGGTTAGATGGGTAATGTTAATTCTGCTCTATCCCATTTTAAGTCCATTACTTGATGGATAGCTGAGTAAATATTTACAAAGCATAAAATAATGATTATTTATTTCATAAAAATAGAGATTACAAATAATACATGTATTTGCAGTTATGTAAAAAGAAAAAAAAAAAGATAATTCAAAGTACAAAAAAACAACATTTTCAAAATTCTTTTACATTCCTTGAATAATCAGACTCTATTCAAATGATGATTTATGAAAACACTTTGTAAGGTTTAATGCTACTATGCTTGATATTTTCATTTTGGTTTATCTGCAAAGTAGGCCATAAGTTTTAGTCCCAAGATTACCGCTTAATACCTCTGCTTGTGAAAAGTTCCATTTTAGGGCTTTTTGCCAAAGCAAGTCAGTATGCATGAAATCAAGGTCATTGAGTGATAAAATTTTGAACTAACATATATACATTCAGTTTTTTAATAAAAGGTATTGATCTTGAAATTCTTTGCATGTACAGTAAAATTTGAATAAATGTTTGTCTAGGAGAAAGGGTAATAAAATACTTTTAGAAACAAGAAGGAGAATAGTTCCTGCTGTGTTGAAGTTAAAGGTAGCGCAATATGAGAGGAACTTGTCTTTCTTTTTCTAGACACCACTCTGCTGACAAATAATCTGAACACTTTAATAAGTTAATCTTTTTTTTGAAATTGAGATATGTTCAAGTAAGTGAAATACACCCTCTAGAAACACAAGAAACCCTCACAAATCAAAATCCCTCAACAAGGATGATAACTCAGGAAAATATTCTTTGCTTGTTAAACTTTCCTTTAGATATTTTTAATAGAGGCGTTGCCAGTACAGAATAAAGCGCTGGTAAAGGGGATATGATTTTTACCAAGTAAACTAAGTTTCCTTTCAAAGTCAGGGGTGATTATGAGAAATGAGGGTCATTTAATAAGTAATGCTACTATTTAAGAAATCATAATCACCAAAAACTGCATACTTTTTCCTACTGTCATTGCAAAGAAATTCCTTTTAAAAGTAAGCATGGTCACTACACTGAGATGAAAACTGTTTTAAAATGGTCTCTGCTAAGAAAATGAAAATGAGAGCATATGTAAAAACTGCACTTCATTACAAAAATTGCTGAAGAACCAATATGAAAGATGTGTTTTGATATCAGGAAAGCCAAGCCTTTCACACTATACAGTGTTCAGATAAATTAAGAAATCCCATATAAAAAGGAGTGTTGCAAGATGGCAGTTGAACTAGTCAATCAAAATCTGTGGGGACACCAAAAAAATGTCGAAGCTGTGAGCAACATGATATCTGTATGATATCTATAAATGCCAGATTTACCTTGAAAGACTTTGGAAAGACACTAAACATTTCATAGTCACAGTTTATAGAGTGCTATATATAACTTTGAAAATATTAGTCTAAAAATATTTTTATGTTAGATGGGTGCAATATTTCCTTACAGATGCCTGAGTTATATGTGCCAATGGTCTATTAAAAAAATAAACATTATTACAAAAAGAAGGCATGATAAACTTGGGTGATGGGTGTGAAAACATTGGTGCACTTTTAGTTGCATGAAAGGAAGAACAATAAAAAAAAAAGTGGAATCAGAGAGAAAGCTACGTCTTATTATTGTAAAGAGAAACTAGAGCTTCAAACATGTCTTAGGCCAAACAAAAAAATATGTGTGGTTCCGGTTACACCTCCAAAAAAATTAGGGTAGGTAGGTAGGGAATTAATTTTTTTTTTTTTTTTTTTTTTTTTTTTTTTTTTTTTTTACAAAATGATTTTCTAAATTTTTCTTAATAATACCTATCACTGCTTTGTAAGTGGTGTTTAGATGTGGCGTGATGATATACAAGTCAACATTGGTAGGGACACCCTAGTTATGAATATGAAACAAATATTTTTAAATCAAAAATAATAAACCCACTAATAATCTTATTAATTTCTTTTTGTAAAAAAAAGTTCGAGGTGAACAGGCATTTTACCTGGCCAGCTGTCTGTGAACGTATATTTATTTAATTTTGGCAAGCAAAAACAAAACAAAGCAAAAAAACATGGTGTTGGAAAAAAGGAATGCTTCCGCGCTATGCTAGCTTGCTTTAGATTTAACACTATTAATTGAACACTTGCACTAAGTGTTGAAACGATGTTTTGCATGGAGGCCGCCATTGCTGAAACTAAAACTAATACCGGGCTAATGACAGAAAGCTGGGAAAAATCCGGAAAAAATATTACAATTGCCGGAAAAAAGTTAAGGGTCGGGGGTATAAAATAGGGACGGTCGGGTAACCGGAACCACACATATTTTTTTATTTGGCCTTATACAGGTTTTCTCTTCAGTCAAGAGGTCCAGTATTACATGAGTCTACACCAAAAGAAAGGACCATTAATGGTAGTTTTTATGTTGAAATTGCATTGAGGAAAGCTAAGTAGCTTTTCTGAAAGGGAAGTCCAAACACCTGTCCCTGAGTTAATTTTCTTGTTTCTGGCAACACTGCTGCAAATATGCATAGAATGTAAAGGGAATTTTGAAGAAAGGAACATTTGCAGAGCTAAGCCATCCTCTATACTGCTAGATCTCAGTCATTGTGTGATATTTTTATTCCAAAAACTGAAGAAAACAATCAAAGGAAAAATTTACTTAGGTACGTCATGGAGAGTGCTTTTCATCAGTGTCTTTTGAGCATCCCTAAAAAAGAGTATGCTGAGGTGTTCTGATCATGAATAGACTTTAGACACGTGTAAAGGTTACCAGAGACCACATTGAAGGGTTAAGAAACCGATTTTTGTGCTTTTCTTATTTTTAGAGCATTTTGCATTACTTATTGAAGGACCCTCGTACATACAATGTATTGTTTAAATTGGACAGAGATATTCAAAGATTTTTAGAAAAGGGCCTTTGGGCATAAAATGAGATTTTTAAAAAAAATTATATTGAACTGTGGTAGATTCAACTCTGCACATTACATGGCCCTAAGGGCTAGGGAGGGCCCACAGTGTAGTCCTAACGTTTTTGTATTTAAAATATAACTGATTTAGAAGCTAAGATGGAATTTTTCGAGAGAATAACATTTGAACTGTTTATTATACACGTACTCACGCTCCGAATGAGAGGGGGTATACTGTTTTACCCTTGTGTGTCTGTCCATAACAAATTTTCATCACTGTTTTTTCAGCAACTACCGCAGTACTCATTGCAGATGCTTGAAATTTTAGCAAACTCTTTGTCTAGGCATGTCATATGGTGGGATTTATTTTTAGCTCACCTGAGCTGAAAGCTCAAGTGAGCTTTTCTGATCACATTTTGTCTGTTGTCCGTCTGTCTGTCCGTCTGTAAACTTTTCACAATTTCAACTTCTTCTCCAGAACCACTGGGCCAATTTCAACCAAACTTGCCACAAAGCATCCTTGGGTTAAGGAGGTTCAAATGAAGGGCCATGCCATCTTCCAAGGGGAGATAATTCAGAATTGGTAAAAATTTGGTGTCGTTTTTTAAAATCTTCTCAAGAACCATTGGGCCAGAAAAGTTGAAACCTTCATTACATAGTGTAGATTTAAGTTTGTTCAAAGCATGACCCCTGGGGGTAGGGCGGGGCCACAATGGGGGGATCAAAGTTTTACATAAGAATATATATAAAAAATCTTTAAAAATCTTCTTCTCAAGAACAACAAAGCCACAATTAGTCATATTGATATGGAATCATCCTCAGGTATTGTAGATTCAAGTTTGTTCAAATCATGACCCCTGGGGGTAGGATAGGGCCAAAATGGAGGATCAAAGTTTTACATAGGAATATATAAAAAATCTTTAAAAATCTACTTCTCAGGAACAGCAAAGCCTTGATTGGTCATATTTATATGAAATCATCCTCAGGTAGTGAAGATTCAAATTTGTTCAAATCATGACCCGTGGGGGTAGGGTGGGGCCACAATGGGGGATCAAAGTTTTACATAGAAATATATAGGAAAAATCTTTAAAAGTCTTCATCTCAAGAACAAGAAAGCCATGATTAGACATATTGATATGGAATCATCCTCAGGTAGAGAAGATTCAAGTTTGTTCAAATCATGACCCCGGGGGGTAGGGTGGGGCCACAATGGGGGTCAGAGTTTCACATAGGAATATATAGGAAAAATCTTTAGAAATCTACTTCTCAAGAACAGGAAAGCCATCATTAATTATATTGATATGGAAGCATCCCCAGGTCTCATAGATTCAAGTTTGTTTAAGGCATCCTTTAGTTGTAGGTTGGGGCCATAATGGGGTATCAAAGTTTTACAAAAGAACATATATTGGAAATTTCTTTAAAAGTCTTCATCTCAAGAACAACAAAGCCATGATTAGTCATATTGATATGGTAGCATCCTCAGATAGTGTAGATTCAAGTTTGTTCAAAGCATGAAACACCCCCCCCCCCCCCCCCCAGGTAGGGTGGCAGACATCTGTAAAATTCCGTTTTCAAGAACAGCAAACCCATGATTAGTTATATGAATATAGAAGCAGCTTCAGAAAGTTAAGGTTCAATTTCATTCAAAACATGGGACCTGGGGGTAGGGTATGCCTAGAACAGGCAATCAAAGCTTTACATATGAATATATAGGAGAAGAAATCTGCTGACGAAGAACAGCAGGACCATATTGACTCAGGTGAGCGTTGTGGCCCATTGGCCTCTTGTTGTACTAATCTGATGTCAACTGCCAGTTTTTCCATGTGTCTGTCCATACCAAATTTTTGTCACAGTTTTCTCAGCTACTACTCATTGCTGATGCTTGAAATTTTAGCACACTCTTTGTCTAGGCATGCAATATGGTGGGATTTATTTTTGTACAAATCTGATGTCAACTTCTTGTTTTTCGGTGGATTTGTTAGTACCAAATTTTCATCACAGTTTTCTCAGCAACTACTCATTGCTGATGCTTGAAATTTGTGCAAACTCTTTCTTTAGGCATGTTATTTGGTGGGATTCATGAGAGCATACATTCACATCAGAGTGGGGGTATTACTAGTGAGCAATGGCTCACAGACTTCTTGTTTATGAATGCTTGTTCATCATTATTTTATTGTGTTTTCCTCCATTATAGAATGAAGAAAAAATATTACTCATGGGATGAATGTCTGAATTTAAGAGAAGTTAAGGTAATGTATTTTCCTGCCAGGTTGTGAGAACTACAAGCAGACAAATTTATATCTACATTTATATAAAACATAAACTCATAAAGTTTACTGATTGATATGAAATTTTGGAAAAGATTCAGAAGTGCCTTACTGAGAAAGAATTAGGTAAATATTATACTTATTTACTTTGGAACTGAAAAATTATCCAAAAAAAAAAAAGAGAACTTACTGGTATTACAGAAATCTCAAAGTCTGATTTTAATACTGGTACTTCTGAGATTTTTTTTTTTTTTTTTTTTTTTTTTTTTTTTTTTTTTTTTGATAAAGTAATGGACTATCCTTCATTCCTTTGACTATGGAATTGTCAGTATCATTGTAACAGTTATAGAAAAAGATTTTTCATGATAGCATATATAACAGTTCATAAAAGTATTAATTTGGCATTGCATACACTATCCTTTTTTTTTAATTTCATTCATCAAAATTTTTCCATCATTGCTGGATATTTGTTTTATATTTCAGTTTACTCCCTTGAAATTTGAAAGTAAAAAAGATATAATTCTAAGGTCTTTTAATATAAACCTTTTTAAGGGCTATAGATAATTCTTGTTCAAAGGCAAAATTTTGGACCCAAATACACCGTACCAATGTTCCAGTTAAAATGTCAGAATACCACTAGTGTGTTGAAGAGGATTGTCCTGAATGTCCTGAGAAAACCTTACTTCAAATGCTTTGTGTAACAGTAAAAAGTGTTATAGCAAAAAAATATAAATACCTGCAGATACTAATTAAGTATTAACTGGACGTGTTATAATAGAATTTTGGTTGTAAAGGAGTGGTTTTGACTGTTGGTATACAGTTTCTCATGCCTGTATTTCATTGAATTTGAGCAAATTTGAACAGTTTAGATGCATCCATATAAATGTATGATCAAAAAGATAGAAAGTCTTTGTCCTTATGTAATTTTTTTCTCCTTTTTTCAGTCCTTACGGAAACTGAACCATGCAAATATAGTGAGACTGAAAGAAGTCATCCGAGAAAATGATCAGTTGTTTTTTGTGTTTGAGTTTATGAAAGAAAACTTGTACCAGATGATGAAAGACAGGTGAGGAAATAAAGTCACAGATGTAACATAGATCACTTGTTTATGGGTTGTAAATAATAAATTGAGTAGGTGAGGAGGAATTTCATCTTAGTGTATATACATATATAGCTCTGCAGATTCAAACATCTGTACAGCTTCAATAGTGTAAAGATGTTGATTTTTCAAAAGATACTGGTAGTTGATATATCCGTAATGCATATACATATTGTAAGGAATCAACAATGAGACTGAACTCCACCCAGTTTGATTAGGCCATCTTTAAAATAATGTTCATTTGCTCTCTCCCGACATGGAAAAAAAAATATTGGGTCAGTAAGTAGGTGGAAAATTTTTTCCCCCCATAAAACTTCCAATATGCATCTTCATAGGATGAGAATACTCAGAGGGAAAAATTATTGTTTCCTGGAGGTTAAAAAGTTTTGAGTCAGGCCATTTTTAGCCAGTCAGTCAGGAGAGGGCAAACAAACAATTTTTTAAAGATAGCCTTACAGTAAATATTTTCCAGCAGGATGATCTTTAAATTTACAAGTCACATAACACCAGAAGTTCAACTTAAATCTGTGAGCAGCCCTATTGAAATACCTGCAAACAGATTTCATGTCTATACCATCATGAATGATCTATAGATAAATAACAGGAAGTTAATCAATACATAATAAACACTGTGATCAATGCATTTGGTAAAGGAATCCATCAATATTGAATGACCAGGACAGCCAGTTGTAGGGTGTATCAGTGTTAATAGTGATAATATTTACTCAGCCCTGGGCAACGCAGCATCATTCAATAATTTCTTGTCTGCGGTATGAACAATACACAATAATCACTCACTGTTACACACTGATGTAATTATATGTGTCTTACAGTATAGTAAATTAATTTTTTATGTGAACATATAAAAAATGACGTTTTTAAGTGCAGGTAAAAAGATGATCTAATTATGAAGGATAAAATCATGAACTTATTTACTTTCAAACATTTCAATTATATTTAAAAACAAATTATTGTTTGATTGAGAAAATATCAAAAATGTAAAGAGAGTCATATATTAATAATACATATTCTATAAAAGCTTATTATAAATAAAGATAGATTTAGAATAAAGGCTTATAATATTTAATTTAGAAAAGTGCCACAGTTGATTAAATATCCATCTTTATCCATTTTCAGGGACAAGTTATTTCCAGAGTCTGTAATCAGAAATGTCATATACCAAGTTCTTCAGGGATTAGCTTTTATGCACAAGCATGGTAAGATAATACAGGGATCTGATAAAATATTGATTATTTTACATCTCGGAGAATTAAAAAAAAAAGTGTCAGGCTCATGTTTGATAGATTTTTTTCATTTATTGATTAATTTAAATAACACCCAGCAAGTTGTGTACTCAGAGATCACATTACATGCCCTAGTACACAAAATAGTAAAGATGTATCAAGTAGAAAACTTAAAAAATGTTTAAAAATATATATATATATATTGCATTTATACGTTCTTACTGTTTACTGATTTAACTTTATATTTGCAGGCTTCTTCCATAGAGATCTGAAACCAGAAAATCTGCTTTGCACAGGCTCAGACTGTGTCAAAATTGCTGATTTTGGATTAGCAAGAGAAATTAGGTCAAGGCCACCGTACACAGACTATGTCTCAACTCGATGGTAGGTGGACATTGAATACATTTATATTTTTCTTAAGGTAGTTAATTCTTCTGTGAGATATGGAGTCAAGGATTTTTTGCTGAGTATATTTCTGTTTTCTTTATTCATGATAAAATACAAAATCTTTAAGAAACCTTGAAGTCATTGTACTGCTTATTGGACAAGGAAGTCATTTAATTGACCTTTAAACATGATATACCAGTAGTTTTCTCCATTTGCCATTACTCTTATTGGGACAGATTAATTATGCCTAGACAAGTCTGAGGACAAATTAATTTGATCTAACTTATTATCAATAAATTTTTAAAAATGACCCCCTCCCTCTCCAAAATAAAACTAATAACAAGTTTTGATATTAAGGTAAGAAATACATTTATTGGATTTGAACCCCCCCCCCCCCCCCCAAAAAAAAATTACATTAAGTAAATGTTTTTATAGCAACTTTCACATTGTTTAACAGAAAACTTCTTCGAAAGATATACATGTATATTTTATATTTAGTCTAATTGAAGATAAGTCTAAGTTTGTGGAATATACAGTATTCATTTCAGAAATTTATTTGTATGTGTTAAAAATATTGGTAGGACTAATTTAAAAGAAGATAAAATTCAAATTTCTGTCTCAGGCATTTTTATTTAGAAAACCTCCCACCACAACAGAAATATATGTTCCTCTTTTTACTGTTCATGCTGATGGACTAGAAGTTATTTCATTTTTTTTTACCAGGTTTATTGATTTGTTATAGTAAGGAACTCAGTGAAATTATGTTTGCTAATTAACTTTGCTATGTGCAATTTCATAAATCCTGACAAATGTAAACTTGAAGCCTGATAAGTTACATACCTTAATTATAATGGTTTTAGATCAAAGTTTAATCAATTTAAAAAACTCATACAAGTAATGGCTAATAAGATGGATAGTTGCAGTACTGAAATTTTTTTTTTTTTTTTGGGGGGGGGGGGGGGTCAGTGTTCATGTACTGGTTCATTGGGACATAATTCTGTGGGTAACTCTTCCGTAAAGAAGATTTAGTGATCCTATTTGTTGACAAAGTTACTAATTGTGAGGATGTAAATTAGTTTGTAATGGTTACCTGCAAAATCCACTAACATTGGTCCCCGACAAACAATGATGATTCCACAGTAATTTTCATGAGTGGCTGGAATAGATAGTGAAATTTCGTACATAAATATATCTTTGTTTTTGGCAAGGTGAAAATTCTTGAATTATAAATTCTAATGTATTAAAATTGGTACTTTTTCTGCAAATTCAGAGGTCTTCTATGCATACTGATTTTTTTGCCTTTACTTTCAGGTATCGAGCACCAGAAGTGTTGTTACGTTCTACCAGCTACAGTTCACCCATTGATATATGGGCAGTGGGCTGTATCATGGCAGAACTATACACCCTGAGGCCTTTATTTCCAGGAAGCTCAGAAATTGATGAGATTTTTAAAATATGTTCTGTGCTGGGCACACCCAAGAAGGTAATGAAAAATAATAATCCATTTTTCTCCTCCAGTCCCCAAGAAGTTGTATTCTTAAATTTCTAAAGGCAAAATTCCTTCAATTTTTAACCCGAGTCATGGCTGTTTTTTACAGGAAGAGTGGGATGAGGGTTACAAACTGGCAGCTGCTATGAACTTTAGATGGCCACAGTGTGTTGCCAATAATTTAAAGACTCTAATACCAAATGCTAGTAATGAAGCTATCCACTTAATGAAGGATATGTTACTGTGGAATCCGCAAAAAAGACCTACTGCTAGTCAGGTATGTTATTGATTTTAGTTGAAGAAATCTCATTCTTTATAAATGCCAGTCATACTGGAGATTTTCAGCGTAAATTCTAAATTCAGTTTTAACTCATTCATACTGTGATTTTCTACAGTAATGTATGTGACATTAATCTATGCATGAAAAAAATAATTTAAAATTGTAACACTTGTTTTCAACAGTGTTTACGATATCAGTACTTCCAAGTTGGACAGAATCTAGGAACTACACAGGTTACCAATCGTCCTCAGATTACAAACAAAATATCAAGCCCTGTCAACCCCACCCCTACCAAGGGGCTCCAAGAGGAGAAATATTCCTTCAGTCCTAGTAAACCAGTGGAATCCAAACCAGTTAACTCCCCTGTCCAGCCCTCATTTGGGATATCTAAGCCTGTAGAAAACAGTGTAAGATTCAATACTAGAGCACTCCATTTATTTTTGCTCAGAATTTATTGTAAACACTGTTTTTGATATCCAGAAATTGTATTCTGTTTCATGTAAAATATTTCATGTAATGTATTCATTTATCACTGCATTTTTTTTTTTAAAGAAATTTCAAAAGTCTAAACCTGCACTTCTTCTCCACTTTTATTTTTAATCTGATTATTAAATATATGTAATTTCTGATTCTATTTCAAGGAAACTGATTAGTTAATACTTTACACTTGAATCATAACACTAATTCATTTGTCATTTGCTATTTCCAAAAAAACCTGTCTTTTTCTCCAGGAACCTTTTGCAGTCTCTGTGAAGAAGAAGCAGCAGCCGAGTGGGCGTAAACGTTGGGGGGCGGGCCTCTCAGATACGTGGGATGATTGGGACGACTTTGACTTCAATACCTCCCCTAAGAAAAACACATCTAAAAATATTATCCCTCCAATCGGTAACAAGCCAAAATTTGAACCAAAGAAGCAGAGTGTGATGCATAAAGAAAATCATTTTGATGATGAAGATGACTTCTTATCGTAAGTTTTGTATTACTTTGTATTTCATATTTCAAGATGCTTTGAATTAAATAAATTGAATAGTTAGTGAATAATAATGCACTAAGATTTTGATAACATGCATTGAATTTTAGCCAAATTAACTCTCTGTTAGTGAGTGTACAATACAATTTTCATTATATTTTACTTTCTATAACTATCTTATGTTAATTATTCTGTCTTCTTGTAAATTTGACTTATTGTTCTTAGCACAAGTTATCTTTTCCTTCAAGCAGATATAGTAAAACTTCCAGTTTGAAAGAACTATGCAGATAACTAAATCAGTCTTAATGTCAAAATTTTGAGGCATTTCTTTCCTAGCAAGTCTCAAGTTCATCCCTGGGACAAATACCCGGTACAGTAATCATGCACAAAAATGAATTTAAAGATTTGACCTAAACACAATTTTTTACAAATACTTTAAAAAGGGGAGGGGCAGAAACTTTGACAAGCAAATAAAAAAATCAAAAGGAATGTTTTAAAACAGGGAAAACTACAAAAACTTGTACCTAATTTGTGAGAAAGGGGTTCCATAGTACCAGCCCTTGATTTATTTTTGTATTTATTTTTGTTGCAATATGGTAAGACACTTGCATGCTATTGAAGCATCTTCAGGTAGTGTAGATTCAAGTTTGTTCAAATCATGACCCCTGGGATAAAGTGGGGCCACAGTTGGTGATCAAATATATAGGTAAAAAATTTGCTTATGAAGAAAAGCAGGGCATAGTGGCTCAGGTGAGGATTGTGGTCCGTGGACCTCTTGTTTAGTTTCTATGGGTTTTTTTTAAAATTCCCTTTTCAGTTATTTTTCGGATTTCCTCTCCCTAACTTTAAAAAAATGCTTTGTGTCTGTTGTGCAGATTTGCAGAGTACCCTGAAAATGTGATGCTTTAATAAGAGATGCGACTTCAACACAAAATCAAGAGACTACACATGTATTTTGTAATCATTTCAAGTTTTGTTTCAAATATTGTCCCCTAAAAGTGTTATCATATTCATTAATGAGTGTAAAAATGTGATTCAGTCAAATCCTTAAATCTATGAATGTGCAGAAGATCATAACGTTTGTCCTAGGGATGAACCTCAGACTTGTATATAAAGAAAAACACCTCCAAATTTCAACATTTATACAGATTTTGTCAACAATTATTTTCTTGTTAGCTTTTAAACCAGAAGTTTTAGCATCTTGCTTTAATAAAAAAGATAATTTGTGCAAAGAATGATAACTTTGAGTTAATGAAAGAATATATGGGTAAAATCTATTTGTTAATTGATGTTTTTGTTGTAGGAGTATACTGAAGAAACCCAGTAAGCCTGCCAATAGAATTCCTTCAGGACGATCATCTGCCTCCTCAGCCAAGCAACATTACCTGGGGAAGGCTCGATACTTGCCAGGTGGGAACTTAACATTTAGATACACTCATTTACTTATCAGTCTAGTGAGCTTAAGTTTTATCTGTATGACGGTAACAGTAGACATACATGTATTAATCATAAGTGATTCAGAACAATTCACAGGATTATAAGAATTGCTGGTACACAGGAAAGTAGGATAGATAACTAGTAAATGTCATTACTGGGATTCTTTTTTGCTACTGAATATGAGGCTTGTTGAGTCCTTATTGCCATGTCTGATCCCAGAAGTTGAAATGTATCTGTATTACATATTACCCATACAAACTTAATGATAATTCCTCTAATTGCATTTTGTCTGTGGTTTTTCAAATCATCTGCATTTTCTTGAAAAAGAATGCATCTTGGGTTAACACTCAATGTAAGCCAAAATGTAAAAGATAAGGTTTTTTTCTCAGAAAATCTGAAACCCATATCATAGATGAAATAATGTTGGATAACATTTATGAGGGTGATGCAATGTGAAGTAATCCCATGCTGCTGTTTGACATTGAATATACATGTGTTTTATTTTATAATTTATGAGAGAATACTTGGTTCTGTATATATATCCCTGTGAATTTTAGAATATTTTTGCAGGTATTAACCCAAGAAACAGTGCCAAGAAAGACAGTCCAAACAGTTTATGGAACACTCCATCAAAACCGTCTGTAGGGGCTTTACCCAGTGTGGGGGCTAAAAACACCAACCTGGGTACCTTAGGTAAGTTAGGTTTTTACAAAGTTTATAGCACAAGGATTGTACTTGGGTAAGGTTTTCACAATGTTCATTATACCTGTGATATGAACTGCCTGTACACAAAATCACATATTTTTACCCATTCACAGGATCACAGCAGGACACCAAAATTCACAGAAAATGAAAATTTGTCCCATATTTTGAATTGTTTACCAGAAACAGCCATTTTTCTTCAATTCTCACTCTTACAAAACCGGAAATCTTGTTTGACGTGTACCTTACGGTGCTTGGTTAATGTAAATAAAACATTGTGATCGAAGATGTTAATTATTTCCTGCAAGAATAAGATAGTTTTCGTATGAGGTATTTTCCCTCCGAGGTAGTCCCCTTGGTCACCATCTTGGAGGTTCAAACTCATGAATTTTCCTATTTGAGCAACCAATTTTAAACATGTATGGCAGAAATATACGAGAAAATTTTTTTACAGTATTAAAATTTTGAATTTAAGGAGACTTTAACAAATGTATATTCTTCAGAAAAACTGTGTTATCTGCATCCAATGCCCAGTACGACAAGTTAAAATTGATTGAAAAATGAAGGATTCTGGGCAAGTTGACCTCCAATATGATAATAAATGATGCTAAAATTGTTTCTTATATCAAAAAATCTACAACATTGTAATGAAAACACATCAAAACTTCTTTTAGGTTGAATTGTTTTTATAAGGGGGGTTTCAATTATAACTTGTTAGAATTTTGTCAGTAGAAAGACATTTCAAAGAGCAAATCTCACTCTTTGTGACAACAACACTAAATTTGATGCTTAACTTATGTGCTCTGCTAAGCCATAAGTATTATCCATTCAAACAGAAACAGAGAGATGCTTTAGTATCATGAGAAAAATGCAGTTGATTGGAGACAGTGACTCCCACATGGTACACTGTACTTAAAATGGGCAGTCTTCATTTTACAAAATTCAACATTGACCATGGAGATTGCTCATCTTCGCTGGCCAAGGGTTTTTGATCCGCTACTCTCCTCACAAACCCTTGGCATACGGTGCAGTCAAAAGTTGGGATTGTTTACGACACGTGATCCCGAATCTTCCAACATACGCACAGATTGCGTCATCGACAAAAATAAAAGGCGTATTTGAAAATTTAAGTTTTTAAAGAATTATTAACAAGAGGATATGGAGCAATGTTTTTATTTGTTATTTATTGTGCAAATCTACATTTACAATAAGATTCCTGATCACAATATTTGTACATCAGCTTAAGATTGGATGACACCATATCTATTTATAGAGTGGCATGTTATCTCACAGATCGTTGTTTACTTGTCTTTTTCATTTCCGAGACTAAAGAATCAAGATACATCCCGAGGGCAAATATCATCATTTGCAAAAGCAATTGCTGATTGGTCGAACGATGTCGATCAACTCCAATCACAACTCGAGGAAAAAAAAAACAACTTTTAATAGCACCGTATGCCAAGGGTTTGTGAGGAGAGTAGAGGATCAAAAACCCTTGGCTAGGGAAGATGGGAGATTGCTGTAAATATGAAATTCTAAAAGCTGCAGAATTGCTTACAATTAGTAATTAGCAATATACATGTACGCTGTGGTACCTTTGTTGATTTGAAATTAAGTAATAAAAATGATCCTTCAATATTAACATTTTTTGGTCAATATTTTGTACATTTTTTTTATGAGCAATGTACAGTGTTTTCACCTAAATTCCAGTATTTTCAAGGCTCATGTACTAAATTTGGGTCTAAAATTTATCATGTATGGAACAGGATGAATGGATTTTATTGAGGTTATTAAAGTGAATGTGATCTTTTGACAGGTGGGGGACCAAGTGGGTATGGTATGAGAAACAATGCTGACAACTCCAGCTATGTTCCTTCATTTTTATCCAATACCAAAGGTGGTTCAAGTAAGTAATATAGGTGACAATTTACACTGTTTAATCAGTTGTAAGTTTAGTAAGTCTTACAAATACAGTGGATTTAAAGTTACAATCATGCGTCATAATCATGTCAAATTGAAAGAGGATAATGTTCCAAATCTGTGTATGTAAAGTAAGTAACCAACACAAAGAGCAGTTGTTATATTTGTATATATTTATATAGCATGATAAAATAACTTGATATGTAGAGGTTGTTAGTGAATACACATACTGTGTCAGTGATATGATTGTTGAGTAAATTTGAAATTTTGTCATAAAATTTCTGTTTTGAATTTAGATTATCCTTCTGTGAATTGGAAGAGAGCTCAGCCAGCACCCTTATCAATAAACAATAAAAATTCAGCAGGTTATCGACAGCCTCTGGGTGGGAATACAAAAACACATGGACGCACCGACTGGGCCTCAAAGTATGTATACAAAGGCGCAACACAGTTTATTGATTGATGAAAAATTCAAGCTGAGTAGATCAATACTTCTAAATAATAACTAAAAAGTTTATTTTTTTCTGTGTAAGTGTAATATGTGCCATGGAAATACATGTAGGAACTTTAAAAAAATGATAATGCATCTGGGAAGGGGAGACAAAACCAATTAAATATGCATTTGTTTTAAATATTTATACATTTGTGAATTTCAGATATTTAAAGTCCTGACTTATTCTGACAGAGAACTAGATTCCGACTCTGAGCCCTGTCCCACTCACAGACACATGGACAATGTGTGGACTCATCTCACCGTTCTCATTCTGTGATAAATTGTTATTCTTTATGTAGATACAAACACTTATTTAAACTTTTGTTCAATCATGACAAAGTGAATTGTACAATACTTATTGTTCTATTTGTATATACAAAAGTTGATGGTTGTATAGTGCATACTTGAACTGAATTGTAAGATACGCATTAGTCATTTCTAATGAAAAAATGTATCATTCATATACTAGTTTTCCTTGATTATGAGTGTTAAATAATTCATGTACACAATGTGCATTTGAAGGTGCTGCATGCAATTCCAAAATTGAGATATCCCGTCCATTTTTAGCTCTACTGGTGAAAGATCAGAGAAGCCTATGCATTGGCAAAGTGTCCATCTTCATCTCTCCATTGCTTTTTTTTTTGTCCATTTTTATACATTTTTTTAAAGGGCTGCTTCTTAGATAGTGTTTCCAAATGTCAGTGAAAATTGGTGTTCAATTATGTAGATGGCAACTAGATAGATACCTCATACTGATTTAAGAATGCGTGTTTATGTTGACAGGATGACTAAAAATTGAGTAATCATTTAAATTCTTTTAAAGTTGTGGACTTATTTTTTTAAAAAAAACTTACTACGTAAGTAGGTACTACATTAAGTATGTCATTTTTTTTTATTTACATGGTTACTAAAAATGATATAATTTAAATGCTTTCATAGTGGTACTTCATGTTATCGATTTTTCTGATTTAAATAAAATTTGGTACATATATATTACCCGAAGATTCATTACACAATATATATATTGAACATAAAAGAATGGCACATTACCATGTAAAATAATAGAGTAAATTAAGACATTCATTTAAACTAGGTACAAGTTTAAAAGATTCCAATTTACACAATTCTGTAAATATCAAGTACCAAAAAGAAATATTATAAATCCAGGAGAAATTTTTTAAAACTTTATTACAAGTTTAAATCGGTAGAGCAACAGTCCCATTAGAGACTTTTGGTTATTCATTTAAAGTATGATTGCATAGTTAATGTGGGTTTATTAAAAATACACCTAAAAATTTTATTATGAACATGTTTTATATTTAAATTTTTTAGTCTGGAAAGGAATGTTTACTCCATATGTAAAAAAGTGGCATACGGTACATGTTTCTTACAAAAGAGGCCTTCTTTAGGACTACAAAAAATATAATGTAATGTAATTGACTATGTGAGTTCTTACAATATCCTCTAGTTAGCTCAAGACTTTGGATGTGATAAACTCTCATTTACCAGGGCAATGTTTTTATCTGTTTTGCATCAGATCAAAAATTTTATTTTAAAGTATTTTATTATTCCAGTAAATTGGAAGAGGGATTTGTTTAATGTTGAAGTTAAAATTTTTTAACAATTTAAGAAAAACTGCCATGATTGTATTTGATAATGACTACATGTTTAAGTTTTATAATGATTACTCCCCCTATTTTCATATTTCAGCCATATAATTACTTGCCGTGTCTGTGCTTTAAAAAGGTACAATGTATCGGCTGCTAATTATCATGATGTAGATTTTATTGCTTGAAATACGAAGTAGTTGTTGAAAAAGGTCTTGTTTTATGTTAATGGTGTTTTATTTAATGCATTATTTCCAAACAAGATGTCCTATAACATTGCTCATTAATAGAGGATCATACACTTTTTATCACTGATAATTAATGAGGACAAGAGGGATAGATGAGTTTTATGTAAAAGTTTAGAGAATAATTATTTGCTTGTGGTACTGTTGCTAATTTAAAGGATTGATGTCAACATTTTTCAATTCTGTCAAAAGTTTTAAGTTCAGATTGTTTTCTGTTCTCAGACACTGTATTAATTCATGTGTGAACTAAATATAATTAACCAAAGTTCTTTTTTATGGAATGGGGTAAAGTGGTTTTTGTAGCTGTAAAATTCAATTTTTTTAAGATAATTAGCACTCTGCATCAAGATGATGATGCTCTGTAGTAATCACTGGGTCCTTCTGTCTGGCTGTCCATCTATCAATGCTTTTTTTTTTACATGATAACTGAAATACCTTTCTGACAGACTTTGTACTCACTACATACATGTAGATATCATTACACCTTTAGTGTTGTAGAACATCTTGTATAATGGTACACGTATTGTTAATCCTACAGATTAGGTGGAGAATGGTTATAGGAAAACACCTACAGTTTCTAGCTGGGTTATTTGGTTAAAGGTGGAAGATCCAGAATGTTGATGTTACCATTTTGATGCTGTAACTTAGACATTTTGCAACCTATGGATTTTTATATATTCATTTCTAGTGTATCAGTGGAGAAAGGTATAAGAGGTTATTGAATATCATTATTCAAAAACATGGGCATTTTGTAGCCTATAGACTTTAGATGTACCATGGTAAACAAATGGAAAATGATTTATAAATTTTGTGATCACTTGATCAAATGTCAAGGTCAGAGATAACATTATTGACATGACTTTTGTGATTAATTCTCACTTGAATACATGCAGGTTTATGTACAGAAAAAAAAATTGTTATACAAGCTTCTTATTGATATTCACTACAAAATTAAAAAAAACTCCAGATTTAAAGTTTAAGGTCATATGCAACATACATATACTGTGTAATGTACCTTTCCCACTGATAATTTTCCAAGATATTCTTAATTCAAAATCATAGTACCATCAGATGTTCTGAGACAAAAAATCAGCATACATTACCAGAAGTTTTAGACAGATATTAAATGAGAATCCTTGTGTTTCGATTAACAAAAGTACAGTTTAGCTGTTATTTCCTCATCATTTGATTCAGAGGAGGTTTGCAACATTAACAGGCATCATAAAATTGCACAAAGGCCCTAAGGTCAATAATTGGAACTCTTGAATCATACAGGGAATAAGGAAATAAAGTTCAAAACTATGTTATGTACTAGTATGTCTATAATAGATCAATATTATTAATTTCAGTACACTGTGGGATCCTGGATGATTTTGTCAGTTTTCTATAGTTTTAATATTGATGTTTGGTTCTTACTATTCTTCTCACATATATTTCTTTTAAATCAAAACTAAGCCATACTTAATGATGTAGCTGTAGAAAGATTTCAACAGACACTCTCTAAAGCTTTTAGAAAGAACAGTTAATTGTGATCATTTCAATGATGACAGTTGTTAACAGACAAAGTACAAGGGAAGTACAAATGTTTTAAGCTCATCATGGTTGTAATAATCAACAAAGTTTTATAGATAAGTTAATTAAACTTGTTTTTAACTTTTTTCACTTTGTCTAAAAAATGAAACTATATGCCAGAGGAATATTATTTTTACCCGGTAAATGCCATGACATGGGAGATTCTTAGCGATAAACGTCTTGATTTGGAATAGCATTAATCATGCTGCATAAATTTGCAAATGCTGCAATCAAAGTGGACAGGTTGTTGTCTAATGAAGGACAAAGTGGTATGTACAATGACTGAACCATTGTTTTGAATTTTGTGCAAGACATTTATTCAAGATCATAACATATCTCTAAGCAAGATCAGTTTAAAGTTTTTTTATGTGTCTTTGAAATAAGGACTTCATAAAAGTTGAACTGTTATGTTCAACAAATTTACTAATCTTGACCTGTCTGACATTACTTTGGATTAAGGTCCATGGTATACCAACTGAGCAAAAACATTGCTTGTAGAGTAAAGTCATTCAAGTGACTTAGCGTTCAAGAATATGACCTGGAAAACATTTCAACATTAATTTACATTAAACAGTACAGCTAATATGATCAAAGCTTAAAACTGAACACTACTCTTAAAAGGCATTGTCCGCCATATTTCTCTTTTATCGTTTCCATTCCTTTCAACCCCTATATAAGCTGCAGACCTCCTAACAGTTCAAAGTATTTCACTGTAGAGGTCTCACCTGTGTAGACGTATATCTTACATTGCCATGTTACTTGGTCGCAATGAAATTATTGAATTTTATGCACTTTTTCCGAGCCAGGAGAAAACTAACATCAAATATACAAGTTGATGCATTATTTACAAACAGGAAATGCACATAAAACAAGGAATAAATGCACAAAATCTAAGACTAGAAAAGGAATACTACATGTCAGCCATGAGTTTCAAGCGTGCGATTAGGTGTAACGGAATCAAAGTGTTTATATACCTGTGTGATGGTGCCTGTCTATGAGTAGTGTTCAGCTTAAGGTCATGACACACAGCTCATGCATGAACAACACCAAGTAAAGTTTGATGGTAATCAGTGCAAGTAATCACATGATCAAGATGGAAAATGGAAAGCTGTATACAAAAATATTATGACATAAATACAATAACCTGAATAGATAATATCAGCAAGTGAGAGAGAAATGAAGGGAAAGAAATGAAAGCTCACAGTATGAAAGAATTCTGAATGGAAATGATAATTCACCAATGTTCTACAATTCTATGACAAGGAGATCAATGGGAATTAATATATATATATATATATATATATATATATATATATATATATATATATATATATATATATATATATATATATATATGCCCCCTCCCCCCACCCCACCCCCATAATTTTGCCGATATATAGAGTATAGAAAGCATAATTACTATATGCGCTTTTGCCCCCTTAATAATAACGTCTGATGACCTTTTTTTTTAGCTCACCTGAGCTGAAAGCTCAAGTGAGCTTTTTCTGATCACCCCTCGTCTGTCCGTCCACCTGTAAACTTTTCACATTTTCAACTTCTTCTCAAGAACCACTGGGCCAATTTTAACCAAAGTTGGTACAAAACATCCTTGGGTGAAGGGGAAATTAAATTGTTAAAATGAAGAACCAAGCCCACTAACAAGAGGAGATAATTTAGAAAAGGCAAAAATGTGATGGGGTCATTAAAAAATCTTCTCAAGAACCACAGGGCCAGAAAAGCTGAAACTAATGTGGAATCATCCTGAGGTAGTGTAAATTTTAAATTGTTAAAATCATGACCCCCGGGGTTAGGGCGGAGCCACAAAAGGAAATCCATGTTTTACATTGAAATATATAGAAAAAGTCTTTAAAAATCTTCTCCTCAAGATCCACATGGCCAGAAAAGCTGAAACTTATGTGAAAGCATCCTGGGGTAGCGTAGATTCTAATTTGGTAAAATAATGACCCCAGCTGGTAGGGTGGGGCTACAATAGGGAATCCAAGTTTTACATTGAAATACACAAATGTATATAGAAAAAATCTTTAAAAATCTTCTCAAGAACCACTGGGCCAGAAAAGCAGAAAAATATATTTGCAAGCATCCTGGGGTAGTGTAGATTCTAAATTGTTAAAATCATGATCCATTGGGGTAGGGTGGGGCTACAATTGGGAGTTCAATTTTTACATTGAAATACATGTATATATGAAAAATCTTTAAAGATCTTATTCTCAAGAACCGCTCATCCAGAAATGATGAAATTTATGTGGAAGCATCCCAGGGTAGTGTAAATTTAAAAATTGTTAAAATCATGACCCCTGGAGGTAGAAGGGGCCACAATAGGTATTACATGGGGGAAAGTCTGGTGAAGAACAGCAGGGCCAAAGTTAATCAGGTTAGCATTGTGGCCCATGGGCCTCTCGTTTGAAATTGGCTTGTCAAGAAATTTTTGGTAGTTGATAGTGACCCCAACTGAAAAATGTATGGTTAATACCCCCCCCCCCCCGAAATTGCTTCCTACGGGCCTGTTTAAGAGGTATAGGAAGGATGCTTCTGTCACTTGAGTAACCTCTGAACTTTTCAACACAAACTGATTACATGGTTAGTCCTATGATCTAGCCAACTAGGCGTTTTACTGTTGTAGAAAATGAGTTTTAATTATCTATGACCTCGCAGTATAGAATCAATTTAATAGGAATTTTCTTCAAACGGCTAGGAGAAGGCGTACAAATATCATTGGGCTTAGGAACCGGGAGGTGGGCCGTAAGAACGTTTTTAATGAACTTTGTTTTCTATAAGCCTGATACACCCCCTCTCCCAACCCCACGGTTCCTTTGCGCCTGATTTCTTTCTTCCCCCTTTCTTTTATTTTGCATGTCAAAAGGTAACAAAGTTTTCTATTCATTACATAAATTATTAACTCCCCAAAACATCATTTCATCGGAACCTTTGTTTTAATTAATAATAAACGTTTTAGCAACAATTAGGTTAATTGCATATAATTTATAAATAAAAAAGGTAGATATGTTGAAATTAATAAAATTGAGAGGCTATGTAAAGTGTGTCAAAACCTTCAAATTGAGGATGAAAAACATTTCATTTTGCTCTGTCAGAAATACGAAATACAGAGAAAAATATTCAAAGCAAAATTATATCTACTTTAATTTCCGTAATATGTCAACAAAACAATCCATAATGTAATAAAGTCGTTGATGAAAACCAGTTGTCTGTAAACTTTTTATTTTGTATTTGCTTTTTTTTTTATAATTTAATTTAATTTTATTTTATTCATTTATTTTTATTTATTTATTTTGCTAGTTAATTATTTTTCTGCCCCCCCCCCTTGAAAACCGAAACTTGCTTTGGTTTCCTTCCGTAAACGTCTCATAAAGCACACAAATAAACGAACAAAAAATACCACACAATTAAAACATCTCAAATTTATATGTATTTGTGTAATAGAGGGCGGAGCCCTCTCACGGGCCCGAAGGGCCCGTGAGAGCGAAGCTCTCCCTATAGGTAACACGTATGTATGTAAAATATATTGAATTCTATTGTAAACTATATTTTTATTACAATACCTATGGAACTGAGAACCTTGTCGCCAATATGGCGTCCATAGTCATTTCCATCTTGAATCTCGCGACAAATTCCCGCATAAACGAGATGCTGGAGAATCGTAATTTTAATTCCAATCCTGCGTTAATGAAGTTTTATAAATTCTAATAATCAAAAACACCCTTATAGTACACATCCTTGTTACTTTCGTTTTCATCTAGGCCTAGTCTAACTTGCACTCGATCGTCATAGACCTGACATGTGACGTCATTCATTGCATGAATCAGCGTAAACTGTTGAATTTTTAACAACCTGTAATAATTGATATTTCGTATGCGTACTCTCTTTTTAAAAACAAATTTATTCACCTTTTAATAAACCTTAATATGTTTTTGGTGAAGCAAAAAACAGTTTAACGAATTCCAGTGACGTCACTGTCTAGACTGCGTACTACGTACTATGGAGGGGCGGATCTTTCTGTGGTCCCTTCCACCAGACTTTAGGGAAAAGAAACAACTCTAATTTACTTGTTAATAAAATTTAGTAATTACGAATGTCTTCAGGATTATTTTCAATACACAAACTAGAAATAAAAGTTTTTTGTGACTTGGTATAATTTTCCTCTTGAATAATACATTTTAAAAATGTTTCAGTGGTAAAATATTGCATGAAAAGCTTTACTGAATTCTGGTATGAACTCAAGAAGGGGGGAAGGGGTATGCATTTTAATTTTTTTTTTCATTTTTCATTAATTAATTAATTAATTCTTGTCTTTGATTACCTGCTTCTTCCTATATACATTTGCAGGTGGAGGCCTGTGTCTCATATTTGTTGTTGTGAATTTTTTTTTCTCAAAAGTTTTATCATTTTTTTTAAGTGTCAAATTTAGTTTCGTGAAGTTCCCCATCAAAAGAAGAATCTTTGGACATGTCTGAAGCTTAAACTACCACATCAAACACATGTTCCATTTATGGATACGCTTCAAATGATAAAAGAAAATGATTTCTAATTTTTATTTTTTTATTTATGTGGTGAATAGGGATGTCACAAAACATTGATACTTCCCAGAAATGTACCCTAGCTATTATTCACAAGTTTTGGTTTTAAAATTCTAATAGTTTTGGCATAAACAATTTAATATCTGTAAAAAAAAAATCCTTTTATTGAGTTAAATTTGTTTTTTCCAGAAAAGATTTTTATCTTGCTTTTATGTTAGTTTTAGAAAGCACTAAACACTATTCGAATCGGATTAATTTTTTAAAATGCAGAAATGTTGAATTTACTGTACATTTTTTTCGTTAAAATTAAGAAAATAATTCTCAGAAATTTTGCGATGCTGATACTTTTAGCCCTCACGATACACAGCCCTAGTGTTGGTCAGAGGATCAGTTTCCGAGTGTCCTGATAACCCAGGAGTTGGATCATCTTTCTGTAGTTTGGGTCATAAGTTCGACTTCCGATGTATTCGATCCTAACAATTGTCCTTATTTGTATTTGATGTCATGACCATGCATTGGAAGTAAAAGATGAGAATTAAATGACTTGATTTTTCTGGATTGGGATTTTTAAATTAAGTCATGAAAGATAAAGAAATGTTGCTCAGGCATATTCGTTTATTAATATTGTTGGACAGATACATAGGTGAAAGAGTTCTTGGGCTTTGGTAGGTTGAATCCTTGACTGGTCCAGTGCACGCTCTTTCCCCGTTATGCTACTTGATTTTGAGTGGCTAGGCAGTTCATGATGAAATAACTTAGAAAAAGTATTCCAGATTTATAAAACTAAATACCTTAAATTTCTTTATTTGAAATGAAAAATATTTGAGGTAAGAGAACTTGAAGGTTTTTTTTTTTAAGAATGAGGTCTTTGTTATGATTTTCTGACACTAACTACACACCAGTCCAGACGAACGCCAAAAACAGCGTTTCCGGAAGTAAGAAATTGAGACTGAAAAAGACTCCGAAAATAGAGTCCGTGGTCTACAAAAACTGTCCATGCAAAGTTTTGGAAAGTATGGCAATTACACCAGTACTCAGAAATGCTAAATAAAAGACTTCGGAAGAGATTTTTTATTTTATTTGCAAAAAAGGAGATATTTACTTTCAAAGTTGACGTTTGAAGTCAGATAAATTACAGAGAAAATGATACGTTTGAGAAGTAAATATGTATAATAAAAGGGATATATATGCAAAATTGGACAAAATACAATGTAACTGTTAAAATCTTGACTGAATTTTACACATAAATTAGCATTCCGTTTTTTTTTTATCTGTGTACGATATCTGAATTAAATGCGCAAGTTCTTATCATCGTTAATTACCGAATTTTTATCACATACAAACAAATATTATTATGAAAACAGTTTAAAAACTATAATCTATCAATATGAAAACGAAAAACCACTCTTCTAGAAATTAAGGTCACAACATGTCTTCTAAAAATGAACCTGTGAATATCTCTGCTCCGTGGTGAAAAATACGCAATTTTCTGATTAAAATAAATACAAGCTGGTGTCTTCAAAAACAAATAAAAACACCTTTATTTTAGAAAGGACATAAAATTTAGATCAAGGAGACAATAAATCAAATAAGAAAATAATTCTTACCGGCGGTATTGAATTCGATCTCGTATATCCAATTTACTATTATGCAAGAGTTTGAAGCGATGAATAAGTCAATATCCACAAAATAATTTAATAAATGTAATTATCCATTCAACAAAAATTAAAATAAAGTCACGATGAACTAAATACAGCCATTATGCAGTCGTATATTTTGGAGAAAGCGAACGACAATCCATCGTTTGTTTACATCGGACGCCATTTTGCCGCAATGCATGATGGAGCCAAAGACTTCGTTTTCGGAGTTCACGCCGTTTTTGGAGTTGGTCTAGACTGCACACAATTTGATTTTAACACTGACTTATCATTAAACAATAAAATGTAGAAATGTTCACTTGATGGCTCCGCCCTCACCAACGGTCACACCGTCTAACATATTATAAATTTAATCCATACATAAATGGTTTATCAGTTAGTGATAGTCTACCCCGCCCATTTACAATTCGGAATTTTTTAGTGTATCTGATTTTGTTATTATCTGATTAGCTAGAGGAAGTGACGTCATCTCAGACAGCCATCAAGTCTTCTAATTATATTGATCGGTTAATGGCTAATAATAGAAGAAAGTTAAATGTATAGTCTATTGTATTCTTATTGGACATGATTATTTGTGAAGAAACTAAAACCTAAACAGTGGAAGTTAAACTTCACCTAATCTGCGACTAATTATAAAAGGTTCAAATCCGCCATCTTATAACAAATATTCTGCAAGTTGAATGAGGAAAGATGGCGAAAAAAACATACGATTTGTTATTCAAATTGCTTCTTATTGGTGACTCTGGTGTTGGTAAAACGTGTCTTTTATTCAGATTCTCTGATGACGCCTTCAACACAACTTTTATATCCACCATAGGTAAGTTGATGATGTTGGGTGATGTCATTCTTCAAATTCCTTTCCTGGTGAGGAGTAGTAATATGATATAGGTGTTGGACATGATTCATCTTACTCAGCACGGACAGAATAACTTTTATTATGATGATACTCTCAATGACCTACTTCAGGTGGGATAGTTCTTGCCAACTTGGAGGTCTACATGATCTAGTGTTGCAGTGTAGAATTGAACATGTCATTAAAAAGTAAAATGGGTCTTTCTGAAAGTAAAAATTTACTTTACAGTTTGAAAACATCCATTCAGAAAATGTTCGCAGATGCACTATCAGCATTGCCAGAATATTGTGATAAAGAACAGCTCATCATGTATAACTCTCATAGACAAAGCATCAAACCCAGGTTGTTTTCCATTTTCCCAACCCTATGATATCAAAGATATATTTCATAAAAAAAATAATATAATTCCTATTTTTTTTTAAAACTTTTACATAAGAGAAAAAATATGAATGTTAAAACTTCTTTTTAACTCTTTTAAGAGGTCATGCTCAAAAGTTTCTCATTTTGGAACTTTAATGGAAAACAAAAAAGGGTACTAAAAATAGTTTTAAAAATATGAAATTTATTTAAAGGAAGTGGGGGATAATACATGTAGCTGCATAGCAGTGCAAATTTTAATGATAGTTTAATTGACAAGGACAGTGGTATACTAATACATGTATGGAGTGTTTCCCCTAAGAATCAGCTACTAGCCAAATTCACTGCTTTAATTGATAAAAATGCCACTTTGAAATCTAAAAAAAAAATCAAAGTTTAATGTTAGTTGTATGGTCCACATAGATTTGTCATAAACTTCAACCAAAGCCTGTTACAATTACTCTAGCCTTTTACTTCGAAATAAAGAGAATTCAACATTGTATGTACAGATGTAGCATCAACAGCACAACATTTTTACTGGCAGCTCAATTTGCCAAATAGACAGTATTTGGTCACACTTCTTGCAAGTGAATCTTACTGTTATGTCTATCCCTGCATCAGCAAAATGAAAGCTGTATGATGCATGATTTTAATTTTTATGCTATGACATGTAGCAAATATTTCTAAGGGAGCTAGTGTCTATTGTCAGCAGGACTAAGTGTTAACTTTTTGTGTCTATCAAATTATCTACCAAACATTAGATTTAATAAATTGAAGTATTAAGAATTTAATAACAAATCACTTATGAAATCACACAGATTTTTTATAATTTCAGGAATAGATTTCAAAATAAAAACAGTTGAACTTGGTGGAAAGAAAATAAAATTACAGATATGGTAAGTGTCTTCAAGTTTTTTAGTCTTTATATTCCATGATTTTGAGAGTAAAAAGTAATTTCATTTAGTCATAGGGAGGGCAAGATATGTATGAGTATATGTTGCACCATATGATCTTTATTTTATTTTTATAAGTGTGTATAGTCTACATAAACAATCTTCTAATCTTTGAAAAGTGTTAGATATAATAAGATAAATCTGTAAATACTATTTACTAAATAGTCATTTTGTGAAGTGTTTACTGAATGAATCCTTTTACTAAATAGTCATTTTGTAAAGTGTTTACTGAATGAATCCTTTTTTCTTACTTCTTTGCAAATAGCTAGGTATAAGATAAACCAGTAAATGAGGTCATTCAGTAGAGTATTTACTGAATGTTACTTTTGTAGGGATACCGCTGGACAGGAGCGATTCCACACCATCACCACCTCTTACTACAGAGGGGCCATGGGCATCATGCTGGTATATGACATCACAAACCCCAAAACATTTGAAAATATTTCAAAATGGTTACGGAATATTGATGAGGTAAGAGGGCTCGAACGATTAGCCAGTAAACACTTAAAAAATGTACATTTATGCCCATAAAGTACCAGAGTTTTTACTGATGATAAACATCTTTAGATGGGCAAGTTGTGGTGTGGGCAGCCTGTCTATCTGTTTATGATGTCTTTTAGAGGTGTAACGATACAGCAATACATTGATCGTATTGATCGCAAGGGCTCACGATACATGTATCATATTGCCATGCATGTATCGTGATACAGTTAAAGATAATTTTCATTGTTTTGTTTGAAACTTCTACATACAACCTAACAAATTTAATGTTTTAGAATTGCTGAATAAAAGGTAGCAAAGAAAAAATTCAATGTCAAGACTATAAATCCACCTTTTATTAACTTTGGTCAGGGGTATCAAGATATTCTTTTTATATTTTCTATAACTGTGGAGGTTAACAAAGAATAATATGTTAAGATAATGGTTAATTCAGTTGTTGACAGCTGTATCATGATACATGTTGTATTGCATGACCGTATCATGATATGTATCGTATCGTTACTTAGGTAGCTTGCGATACACAGGCCTAATATCTTTGTACTGATTTCTAGACTCTTTTGTCATGCCTTGGAATAGAAACTTGATTTAATTGTGATGCAGTACAAAATAAATTTATAGTGTCAAGGGATCTTTCTGAATATTTACAGACTTATTGCATGTAGAAAATTTTAGTGTCATGCAAGTTTTTCAAACTTCTTTGGTCTGGCTTTAAGATTATGATTTGTTACTTGGCTAATGTGTAATGTGGTATATCATAATACACTGAGACTGTATCATGACACATATCACAAGATGTCATCTTTCATAATTTTTCTATATAATTTGTGTGACTGCTCTGAAATGAGGAATTCCCTATCACACTATGAAAGGATAAATGTTTTAAATTATTTCTTCTATTACAAATACATTATGTAACATTTTATAAACTCTGAACACCATAAGCACAATAAAAGATAAATAAAGAAAATCACTTATTAGGTTATACTAAAAGAAATAGTATAAATTTATAATTTGCTCAAAATGTTGTCAGACAATTTTTGACTTCATTGTAGTCGATATTTGGGTATAAGGACCCATATCAAGTGATATTGACCAAAGACACTGAGAGTGATAGCAACTGCGCTTTCGGGGTATAGTGACCCTATCATTTTCTGTGTCTGAGGTTAATATCTCTTGACTTGGGTACTTAGAACCACATATTGACCATTCACTAAAGCCCATAATAGTTTATATATAATATAATCACTCAAAGTGAATAATCTGACACAGTCCTAGCTGAAAAGACTTGGCTGTCATTACGTCACGATAAAAACATGCTTTTTATATTATGACATCACATTCTACATAACTTTGGTGCAGACGAATGTTTTGTGTGATATCATGTTCTGTGAATACACTTTTATGTCCATATTACAAAAGGACGAATATCGTGATGTCCTTTCAGTCGATGAAAAATTAAAAATCATCTTCTTATTTAATATATATTGTGATAACAGTTATACAGTTTTTGTACCGTGTTGTTACAAAACAATTTTTGCATATTGTGGTAGAAGTTACAGAACATTGCGAGATTAAATGTATGTAGCCTAGATTTTACAAAGTTGCAGTCTAAGACTAGTGTTCAGTACATGGTTGAGTTTTGCAAGGGGAAATAATAATTACAATAAAATATACTTTGATACTGTAGAAATATGATACTGCCTTAGCCCTTCCATCTCTTGATCTGTATAGATGTGTACATTACTTACAAATAAGTGACTGTTCATTCATTACCTACATTTATGATTTTTCTTTAAATTTGAAAGTGATACATGTATATAGTCTGTTAGCAGTGTTCTTGTTATCTCACTTTGTGAAAGAGACAGTTTATTTCTGCTTATAATATAATAGATTTACCAACATGTATCAATGTCAAAATATGTCATCTTTTTCTTTGTGATTGAGTGGTCAGAATACAGCAAATTGTCTAAAAGACCTTGTTTATACTGTAATTATAATTTTGTCGATTCAAATATCTGTCTTTTTTATAGCATGCCAATGAAGATGTGGAGAAAATGATCCTTGGAAACAAATGTGACATGGAGAATAAAAGACAGGTGTCTAAAGAACGGGGAGAGGCTGTAAGTGGATATAAATACGTGATAATTTATTTTTAAACGATGGGGAGAGACCATAATTGGATATAGATACATGTACATTTATTACTTAACATTGGGGGAAGGCTGGAAATGGATATACATGTGTAGATACATGTATTTATGACTTAACAATTGGGAGAAGCTGTAATGCGATATAAATACATGAATTTGTATACAATGCTGTTTTTGATTCATTATATTTATACATTTTCTTACACAAATTTAGAGCCTATTGTGTCCTGTTTTGTACAGGAAGTAAAGGTAAAATAGATTTTTGATAGGAGCTATGTATTTTAACAATGTAAGACTGTGGTAAATAATAACTTTGTTTTATGTCCCTTAATTTTTGAAAGGGTCCCCCAGTCGAACCAATAAAACAAACATATTTAAAAAAACATTACAATATTTTCAATACTATGAGAAAAAGGTTGATTTATAGATTGCACATTAGCATTAATATAGTAGAAAACATTTGAAGTGCTTTCCTACTTGGCATTTTGGATTTGTTCCTTTTTCTCTCAAAGATTAAGAATACTGTTGGCTTAGAATATGTTTTGTTTTGTTTTTTTTTTTTTTGTTTGTGGATTTTCCTGAAAACCTACTTGGCCATGTAAAGAAAACATTTGATCTTAATATATTTCTGCTTTCCTACTTCATAGGTTTTTGAATTCCTTTCTTTTTTTCCTCTCAAAGATTAAGAATACTTAGCCTTAAAATATACCAGATTACAGTATTTCCGTAAAATACAGGGAGAATATATTAAAAATAAACTTGTATTTGCGTTTTTTTAAAACTGGATTTTCCTGACCACTAGGGCTGGGTATCGGCCAAAGTGGATTTTATTGTGATATATTATATTGCAATATTTTCAATGACAGTGAAAATGCTCTTTTTCTTATTCTATTCACCTCCATCTTTCAGCAACTTGTGTAAAACTATTCTAAAAACATTGATACAAATTTTTTCATTGATTTCACTACAGTTCTGGAACAAAATGCAACCATACAACAGCAACCTTAACGCTTCTGACACTTTGTTTTCTGATTTTACTTAAGAAATCTAAAGCCCAAGCAGTTTGTCAGTATATCGGTACTGGAAAAACGAATCGCAATACAATATTTTTTGTTAATGAATCGCAATATACCTGTATATCAATGTTATTGCGCAGCCCTACTGACTAGGTACATAAAACAAAGATTTAGTTTACTGTGGCCTAAACAAAAGTTGACTCACAATATTATATTGTAAAATGTATGATTCATTTGACATTGAAATTCTGGTAATATGAGCTTTCTTTTAGGTGATATATGATTGGTCATAAAGAGATTGTAATTGAGTCTGCTATTTCCCTGATAGATCATTTCATTCCCCATGTGATCATTTTAATACCTCTTTGTAAATGATATACAGACAGTGAAAATACCATTCAGTAGTATTATTACATAATTGAATCGAGATTTATGGGGGAAGAGCAGTGCTATTTAAAGTCATGTATAGCATATTTTTTATTAGTTCAAACTACCTAAAATTAAAAAGATCTTTCCATTTGTTTTATTACTTTATATAAAGATGGGACTTTCCTGTAAATTACACAATTTAAATCAATCACGTTTCAAAGGTATTAGAAATTTAAAACAACCGATTTATATACTGACTACACATTTAAATAAGACACAGTTTAAAGTCAATTTAACTATGGAAACATGAGGTTATTCAAGTTCAAAATTGGTGAAAATTTTAATTCGAACATAAATAACATATATCATGTTTATCTGCACTCAATCTCGTAATTTTTTTTTTTATTTTTTAGCTCAGATATGCCATACATAGCTTTAAATTGTGAAAAAAAATATCGCATTGAAATGTTCCTTGTCTAAGTGGATAATGCATAATACATGTTATGTACAAGCATTGAACTAATTTAGTGATTATTGAAAAGAAATACTATTCGTTGTAGATTGCCAAAGAACATGAAGTTCCATTCCTAGAAACAAGTGCAAAAGCTAATATTAATGTAGAAAAAGCCTTCATGGATTTAGCACAAGCAATATTAAATAAGGTAAGACTAACTGAGAGGGTTTTTTTTCGGGAGGGGGTTGTGCTAGAATTTACTAAATTATAATTAGAACAAACTTTTTATGATTTATCTTAAGAAGTCTGAAGATAATTTGACCTTTGTTGAATAAAAAACATAAACACGTGAATTACAGAGTATTCTTTAGTTTGAATTTGAATTCTAATTGATCTTTTATGTTTCAGTCACCATCAAGGGATGCAAGACCAGAGGGCCAAGTCATAAATGGTGGAAATAGGCCAAATCACTCCAGTAAATGTTGTTAAGATTTCCCCTACTGTGGATTTATTCAAATTTCACTATTAATTGTACTGTGTGGTTAAAGTCAAGGCTTATGTAGCTCATTGGTTCAGGATGTTGAGTTAGTAACTTCTGAATCCTAAAATTGGTCACTTATTTCTGTGATCCTGAAAACATAGCAATGGATTTTTATATATATATATATGTATAATTGCTATTTAATAATTAATTGTACAGAATATTAACATATAATATTTTTTGGTTATGCGTGTAGGTAAGGTATAAGTAAATAAACCATTAAATTTTAATATTAGCACTACAAGGAAAAAAAAGTCTTATTAATTTGTCTGCTTGCATTTGACCTAAAAGTTGCAATACCTAAAGAAGATTTTATTCCCCAAAAACAATGAACAGAAGACACATTTCAACATTTTACATGTGAGAATAAATAATTTATTTTCATTGGTGGTACTGGGTGAGAAAGGCAGAGAAAATGTGTTACAGAAAAGCTGTGCAAGAGAAAAGTAATTTTATGTGTAATTATTTTATGCACTTTAATGCATCAATATTTTGTTGCATAACATTGTATGTTAAGGTATTTTATTCAAAGACAAAAAATTCTTTTGTAGTTGACTATTTTCATATGTATGAGGTTCAAAGTTTGTCTCAGAAAATAAATTCACTTTTTAGGGGGACAAGTAGCTAAAAGCTTGAAAAGTATAAGACGTAATATGTAATTCTGAATTTTAATATTTAATTTCTTAGGACCAGTTTTTTTTTTTTTTTTAAATAATTTATAATTCTTAAAATGAGTTATTTGTATACTGTTGGAATACTAGTTTCTGAATGAAATTGAATAAGATTGGCACGATGAATTCAACTGATGTAAATTGTTCTTTTAAAATTCTACTTCAAATAGGAACTCCTGAAGCTGTCAGCATATAAGCAAATGACCATGTTTGTTGTATAAGAAGTGATTTGTTTTTTTTTTTTCACCATTTGATGTCTTTGTCTACATGTCCATGCTTTGATTTTGCAAAATGCAGTTTTGTTTAGATCCATTTTATAAAGGTTGGTTTTTTTTCTAATTCTCACTAAAGCACCCCTCCCCCCCCCCCCCTTCCAAAAAAAGAGGTCCATCTAAAGAAGTACACAATAACTATCCCAACCCTTTCCTTATGTGAAAATTAAAATTTGATAGATTTTTTTCCTCAAAATTGAAACAAGCTCTGTTCATAGTACTGCTGCTGAAAGTGTAAGGTGCAGGGTGGGAAGTACCTTTATAATTTTCTTGTGTTCATTTTCCTTTTACAGATTTGATCCATTTATTCCTTTGTGAAGTTTGACATTTAATGCTGTATGAGTACTTATTTAAGTAAAATTCATATTTTAGTGGCTGTGGTAGAGTATGTACTAATTTATGATAACTGCCAAAATATGAATTTTTGTGGATGTAAGGTATATACCCACAGTGCTAAATAAGGCGCTAACAGACCATGACCTACTTTGTGTTGGACTTAAAATATGCAAAAAATGAGTACACATGCAGTATTTGATTCTTAAGAAGGAATCTGGTATCCATGTTCCTGATATTAAATCTACAAATAAAACAGATAATGAATTAAAAAGCAGTTGATAATGATTACCATTAATTTGTACAACTTGAAAATTTATGTTCTTGACATTGGTTGCATTTGTGTCATCTCGTGAATATGGTGCATGCTGTGTAATTTAATTTGTTGATTTCACATAAAATCTTTGATTTTTCTGTATCTTATGATGTCTCTGTGAAAATTAGGTATTACAGAATGTGCTGACAGTTTGAATTTGGAATGAAGTGGTATACAGTGATATATGTTGTGAGGGAGGGATGAAAACTGTGAACAGTGATAAAATTGAATGAGTGGAGAGATTGATGGATACATTTCTATGACATTTTCTTAGTTTCAGCAACATAAAAATACTATTTAAAAAACATACTTTCGTTTATGGTCAACACAGTTGATGAAAATGGCGAACATGCATGTCAGCATATTGCAGGGTTTTTTTTTTTTTTTTTTTTTTTTTTTTTCCCCTTAAAGCAAAAAAGTTTGTGTGACGTAAAAAATTCAGAGATCCTTTGAAAAAAAAAGTCATGAAGTGATTGCAAGTACAAGATTTTTTTTTATTGATGCCAGGAATGATTATTGAGTGTCGACCAGCCGATGTATGTAGTTGCTGGAATATAGTGGTATATTTGCTTACTGTGGCTTTATCCACATTTGTTGTGTATAAGTTAAAACAATACCCTGTTAAATTCATGCTTTCTTTGTTGACCAGAGGGATTACCATAGTAATCATTGGTGGCACAGCGTCTTCCAGTACATAAATCAAAGATGTCTTGCCACAGCATCATGACTGTGTTTTATTTTTAGTATTCAGAAGTCAAAGAAAGGTGTCTTGTGTTTGCTACATTCAGTTGTATATAGAACTGTTTTAAGTTACCAGCATACAAATTTTGTACTTGATACTGTGTAGATCTATTCTCCATTTAGGCTTTTCATATTGCTTCTGATATTCACTCCTAATTTTATTCTGAAATAAACTAAAAAATCAATTTACTACATTGTTGTTTTTGCTTTGGGGTGAAATATTTAACTTTGCTTTGTTATAAGATTAACTCGTTGATGTTGTAGTCCAAATTATGTAATTTAGCAACAGGAGAAGGATGCAATACATGTATGACCACCAAAGTGGTGAGATATGACATACTGATACTATTTAATAAAACATGTTTATTTTATTTTATTATTTTATGTGGTAAGGTGCAAGGTTGTCTGGATGCCTTAAAATATTACTGTTGTAATACAGATACTTTATTTAGTCGATTTTATTTTGGAATATTTATGCATAAATTAAAAAAAAATACCATAACAGAAGGTGTTTACGGGGGGGGGGGGGGTAATAAATTGAATTGATTGTTGCTAAACGTCAATTTGAAGAAAAAAAATTCATCAACAGTAAATTCCTAAATGCATGAGTTACTGAAGTGGAAAAATGCAAGGTTGTACAGTTGACATTTTCTTTCAAGTTGTAAAATGAAAGTACAAGTATGACTATTAACAAGAGTTATCTTTCGTTGTACAGACGCAAACTGTCTTCCGCTTTGTGGTTTGTTGATCATGACACATGTAAACGACTCATCGGGTATTTAGAACATTAGGTTATGACTTCGATTTGTATGGAGCTGAAGGGACAAGTAGTGGTTTATTCTATCTTGGGATGTCCCCATTGCATGAAGGCTAAAAACACATTGCAAGAAAAAGGGGTTCCATACACAGATATCAGTTTGGATCGTTTCCCCCAGTGCAGGGAGGAACTGACCTCCAAAACTGGAAAGAAGACTGTCCCACAGATTTTCTTTAATGCTACTCACGTGGGAGGAAATGATGATCTGCAAACCTTGGTGAGTACTTGGTGTAGAGTGGCGGGTGTGGATGGGGGTAGGGTCTATAGATTAAAAAGAATCGCTATATATATAATACTAATAGGACAGTCCTCGTCTACTTAACACTTGCTCTAAAACAAGGATATGAGTTACTTTGTTCATAGGTGTATATATAACACAGCAGTGAGCACAAGCAGTAACATATATTTATATTGTTGATTATTATAGATTTTTCTCATAGAACTAAGTGGTTTTAGTTTGGATTACAGATTGAAGATGAGGAGAAATTTCAGGCACTCCTTGAGGATGTGATTAATAATGAAGCCCCACCGGATGCTCCAAAGATTCCAGATCCTGACAGTGCAGTTCCAGATTCAGGTATTTTAATCAGAACTTGCCACAAAGCATCCTTGGGTGAAGGGCAAATGAATGCCTCTTTCAAGGGGAGATAATTAAGAATAAATGAAAATTTAATGGTATCATTTAAAACTACTTTTGAAGAACTACTAGGCCAGAAAAGATGAAACTTAAAGGGGGTCCAACTTTTATATTTAAGTCATATTTATATGATTGGAAGCATCCCCAGGTAGTGTAGGTTCAAGTTTGTTAAACCATGGCTACTGGGGGTAGGATATGGAACCACAATAGGTCAAAGTTTTAAATAGGAATGTATAGGGAAGAGGGTAAGTCTTTAAAAAAATTCTTCTCATGAACAGCAAAGCCATGATTAGTCATATTTAAATGTAAGCATCCTCAGGTTGTTAGTTCAAAATTTGTTCCAATCATCATCCTCAAGGCTAGGACAGGGCTACAATAAAAGATCAAATCTTTAAAAATCTTTTTCTCAAGAAAAGCATGATCAATTAGTGATATTAATATACAAGCATCCTCAGATTAAGTGTAGATTCAAATCTGTTCAAACTGTGGCCACAATAGGGGATCAAAGTTTTACACAGGAATATGTAATAGGCAAAAATGTTTAAAAATCTTCTCAAGAGCAGCAGAGCCATGATTAATGATATTAATATGCAAACATCCTCAGGTAGTGCAGATTCAAATTTGTTCAATCATGGACCCCTGGGGTAGGATGGGGCCATAGGGAATCAAAATTTTACATCGGATTATATTGGAGAAAAACATACTAATCTTCTCAAGAAAAGCAGGTTCAGGATTATGTAAGAATCTTCAGGTAGTGAAGATTCAAATTTGTTCAAATCATGGCCTCGGGAGTAGTTTGGGACCACAATAGGGGATCAAACTTTTACATAGGAATATATGAAAAAAAATCTAATTTTTTGCTTAAATAATCCTACAGACGTGGGTGATTTTTCCTGTGAGCCTGATGAATATGCCATCTTGGTACAGAATCTCAGAAAGAGTGGCCTTATTAAGGACCATAGAAGACTTCTGTCTGTCCACAAGAACACATTTGTTGGGAAGGAATTTGTGGATTGGATTGTGGAAACAAAGGGTTTAGGTAATGTAACTCAGAGATAGGTAGAACCGAGCATGTCAGCTATATGTATTTTAGCAGACACTAGTTACACTAACAATTTTGATTAATTATATTGTATAAATTGCATACTCTGTTCAATTTCAGGGTTACATATTTGTAGTCTGAGCATATTTTAGGTAAATGAAGATGATAGTAGATTGTTGTGATGATGTTAAAGTAGGTCTGGTTTAAGTCATAAATGTGGATAATAAAACAGATGTAAATAAGGTCATTAAAATATTTTATATTTTGTCATAATTTTCAGACAGAAATGTAGCTGTGGAAATGGGACAGAAACTGATAGATCAACACTTTGGACATAACCTGAAGTCAAACCAAACCTTCCAGGACTCAGATACACTTTATCGACTGATGGATGATGACGAGTCAACAGCTCTTAATGCTGGAGAGATGTCACAATGTGAACCAAGACCTGGTAAGATTTATTGTATAGCGCTAATTTTATCTAGAAAACAAAACCATCTTCATTCTCATGAAAGTTGAATTAAAATTTTATTTTTTGAAAACGCAGTTTCTAATATTTTTTCTATTTTCAGCTGGTGACTTGGGGGAAGATATAAGAAAACTCATTTTAAAAATATATGCAGCCTTTTTGTCACCAGATGGAAAAGTATGTTTTATGTAAAGATCAGAAACTTGACAAATTCCTCATAACAGAATGTTGAGAGTTCAAAGTCATATTTAGTATCAGCTCACCTTAGCCAAAGGAGCATGATGAACTTTTCTGATCACAGAGTGTTCAGCATCTGTTAGTTGTCTGTCTTGTGCTATCTAAGTTTTTTTTCCCTACATTTTAAACTTCTTCAGAACCACTAGGCCAGTTTCACCAAACTTTCCACAAAGCATCTTTGACCAAGGAGAATCAAGTTTATTTTATAAAAGATCCATGTTTTCTTCCAAGTGGAGATATTTTAAAAGAAATTATGAAAATATGATTACTATTGGTTAGGTCTTTTAAAATCTTCTCAAGAACCAATGGACCAGAAAAAACAAAATAGTTTGTTCATTGAGTGTAGGTTTAAATTTCTTCATATCAGGCCTTCATAGGCTAAGGTGAGGCAACAATAGGGGATCAAAGCTTTGTAAAGAAATATTTAGGGAAAATCTTAAAATTCCTCTCAGCAAGGATCAATCATATTGTTATGCAAGCACCCTCATGTACTGCAGATTCAACTTTGTTCAAATCATGGGCCCTTGGGGTAAGGTGGGACCACAACAGGGGGTTAAAATTTGAGCATTGTGGCTTTTGAATTATGTAAATTTGGTTTTCAATTTTCATTTATTAACTCATTCATTTTTTCATTTAATGTTGATAAGCAAAAATATTTAATCAACAGTTTTTAATTTGAAATATTGCAGAAAGTAAATTATAAAGGGATCGCTGGAAGTGATGAATTCAAGAAATATGTGCGTCTAACTAAAGAGTTACAGAGGGTGAATATAGCCGATGCTAGCAGGGATGAGAAGGTGGCTTTCTTCATCAATATCTACAATGCCTTGGTCATCCATGCTAATGTCTCTGTAGGACCACCAGTCAATCTCTGGCAGAGATATAAGGTAAGAAATTACTTTAGATTACTCATAGACTATGTACTTTTGTAGTAGTAAGGTATAATTTGACTTCCTTTTGCCTAAAAACTCATGTCAAAATATATCCCATTTCATCACATTATGTAAAGAAGCTAATTAGCAAGTGCTAAATCAGTCAAAAATCTGTTCAATACAGGCATTTCATAGATATGATGTCTTAAAACATCTAAGCATCAGAATCCGATCATTAGATTTTTTTGCAATCATTTGAAATTTAGGGCCAAAATTAGTTACTTATCATACATATCTCTTTGTTGACAGTAAACATACCCAGTATATTAAACTTTTTACAATAACTCTGCTCAAGCAATCAATTTTTTCCACTTGTATAACTTCTTTTGAGAAATGAAAGTATTTGTGTTTTGATTGTAGTCTAAAAAAATAAAGATAGGGTTTATAATCTTGATTGGAAAGTGCATTGCCTTCCTGCATTCTACAATTTACCCCCCTGTCAAGACCATCCACTGTATTCTCAGCCCCCAGGAGAGCATACAAGCAGAGCTGCCTTATATATGAGGCTAATGCTTTTACTGGTACATCTACATAGCCAGCTTGTTTCATGTGCCAGGTACCCATTTTAACCCCAACTTGAGAGGCTGCACGTCACCAGTAGAGTGAAGTAACCAAAGTTACAGTGATAATGCAGAGTTTTTAGTGACTGACTGGACTCAAACACAGGGCCACGGGGCACCGGGTCCAAAGCTAACCACATTAACCACTGCGTTATCACCTCTCCTCTAACAGTTTCATACTTTGTGCATGAAAAAAAATGGATTTGAATAGAATTCCCACACTCTGAAGCTAAAAATGATATGATGTTTTGAATGCTATTATCAAGAACATGGTTATGCAGACCTGTTTACTCTTATGATTTCGCCGTATTTTATACGGATTTTGAGTCCTAAATACATCTCACATTTTACTTTAAGGTCAAGATCTATTAAATGAAAGGTGCCTTCAGATTTCTGAAATCTGAGAAACAAGTTCTTTCAATGATCCTTTACAAATATAGCTTGGCGAAATTAGGTGTATCGGGGCATAATTTTTAGGTAAACTCAACGAAAAACGATACTTTAAACTGTTATTTTCAATGAAAAATGAAGGAAATCAGGTATAAATATGGGAGTTTTTTCCTTCTCAGAAAAAGAAAATATATCAATATTGCCTACAGTCTCTCAGAAAACAGTTTTTCATATCTTCTTGACCTCTTCTTTAAAATGATATGAATTTGAATATAGGTATCGGGGTTAATTTTGACATGATTTCAAATTGAATTCCATGAAAATGTATCATTTTCTACGTAATTCTATAATAGCCATAAAGTACGGGAAAAATTAAGTTTAAATCAATTATGACGTCATAATGGGTCTAGCACCAAAAAGACAGTCTAAACTCATTTACTAGATCTTTACCTTAATGAAAATATGGAAATCTGAAATCCGTTCATTTGGATTTTAGAAGATAGTTTTCATTATGATCTTCCTCAGTTTGACGCTTTTTAATCACTAAATAAGAAAGATTTCAAAATACTTAAGTGATGTTGGGTTGCCAAAACGCGGTAGTTTCTCTAGTAATACATTGTATATGTAAAATCAATGGAAAGTAAAATCTTACGGGTAAATGCCAAATCTCACTGACAAATCTAATAAAAAATACTGAGAGACAACAATATGGGTAAACAGGTCTGGTTATGATTTTGATGTGTATTTGTTGTATGCAGGGAGCAAAAGGGGGGGGGGGGGTAACTAACAGTTTCAGTTTTAATTATGCTTCCCTATGTGGGGGTGTATAGTGATGGGGTTGTCCATTTCTCTGTACATCCTTCTGTCTGTATGTCCTTCCGTCTATACATCCATAAATTTGAAGGATGAATTTTATTTTATTTTATTTCAAGTTTGGAAAAATTTGGAGGACTGATCGATGGAAAAAAAATATCTCATAGGATCAAAACCCCAAGATACTGATAGTTTTTTGAAATTCTCTGTCCTTTGAAATGTAATCTAGTTAGTGCATGAAATGTGTAGGTCTCCTGCCTTGATTGTTGCCTTTGAAATGCATAGCATTTTAAAAAGTTTTCTGAGCCTAGTACCTAAGTAATTTTAAGCTACAGGAATGTGTAACAATTGTAATGCTACATGTGATCAGAGAACTAAAACCTAGTTGTAGAAACAGAATCCTGTGGGATTTCGCAGTTGCACTTTCTAATTATTCCTTTATTTAATTGTAGTTTTTCAACACTGTTCGATACATCATTGGTGGACATGCCTATTCCCTACAAGACATAGAGAATGGAGTTCTGAGGGCAAACAGAAAGGGTGTTGGTAAGCTTCAAACTTCTTTGGCTTCACGAGTGGCAATTGGGTATATAAAATAATCACCTGCCTTTTAAGTACTCGGTCATTATTCAAGAAAAAAACTTCGAAATTGAAACCTATCCTTCTTTATGATTATATATTGTTCTCTTTTGATTGAACATAATTTCAGGATGTACATGCTGACATTAATTCCAGGAGTAAAAAGAAGCATATAAAATTCAAATATATTTGATAAATGTAAACACACCTAAATACAATAAACATTCAATTTCTATTTAATGGAACTTTGGAATGATTATCATTATCAAACAAACAGTTCATTTCATGTTCATGTTCTGTACCATTCCCAAAGGCATTTAATTCATACCTATCAACTATATAAGGCTCATTTTATATAAGCAGAATGCATATCTGACAAATTTTATATTGGTTGTTTCTCCTATATTATTTTAATGTCACTGTATATGTTTGATACATTAATGATTTAATATATTATTTGTCCTTCTCATGTAAGTAACTTCAGTTTCACTCGGCTGAATAACATCTTATAGATTTAGAATGGTCAGTTCATTAGAAATATTTTAAAGAACTTAAGAAGATGGAAGCATTTTTGCTACAGACTAAAAAAAGAAATTGTGCTTTATTTTACCAAATTAATTTGAAATCATTATCTGATTTCCAATTATGACTTGTTCCTGACTAAAAACAAAACAATGTGCTTCCACTGACAGAGGTGGTAATTACTTTTTTGTTGTCAAAACATGACAGGGACAGTGCGATGATCTCTGAAAATAGAATGTGCTTGACAACGATGAAAATGAAGAAATATTACATGGGTTTTATTTTTTTCCAAGTATTCAAATGCTGATTTAAGTATTGAACTATTCAATACTCAGACCTTTTAACGGGTACTCAAGTAACCAGTTACTCATTGACAGCTTCATATAAAACACAAACACCAGGAAGTGGATAGATCTTATTTAAAAGTTATGTAACGATAGCATTTAAATAAGGCATGCTTGATTGCCTTTCATTGGCATTTAAATATGAATATTTCAATACACTGAATTAAATATCTGATTCATTTTGAATTGGGGGGTGGATGTAAACCTGAGAGTTAGGTGTCCTCTTTCAAGGCCTTAGATTCTATATGCACTTTAACAGCATGACTTACCTGTACCTAATCCTGAATATTTGGTGTCATTTCATACATTTTATATTAGGAATGCTGTTTCGCCCCTTTTCACAGTCAGACCCCCGCTATAAGATTGCCCTAGAGGAACCAGAGCCCTACATTCACTTTGCCCTAGTGTGTGGGGCTAAGAGCTGCCCGCCAATCAAAACCTACTCTACTGATGTAAGTAATATCAACTGCCTTTTTATAGGTTCTCACAGGATTTATGTGGAAAATGACAAATACATGTATTATAGAACTAGTTAATTAGTATCATACTGTTAAAGTAATATGTGGACAAGCCATTGTCTTCGGACTTTTTCAATCAAAAGTTTTCTTCTTTTTTTTTATTTCTAACTATCTATTCATCTGGCTCAAAGAGAAGCATAATTCATATGACAAAAAATATTAATTAGTGTATTACTTTATTTTAGACGGTTGTAGTAATTGGCATTGTTTGTACTTTTTAGGGGTTAGGAGGTCAGCTTAAGCTGGCAGCAGAGGCTTTTTTAGATAGTGACGATGGTCTCACTATTGACATGAACAAGAAACAAATCATGCTGACCAAAATTCTTAGCTGGTACCAGGAGGACTTTGGTAAAAATAAAGAAGAGGTTAGCCTTACTTTTAGATTGATTTTCAAGGATAAGAATAGTTTTACCCGTACTTCATTGATGAAAAAAACATTACGTGGTCAAAATATTCTTAACGTTACTAGCTAATAATGTTTATAAAATATTATATTATATATAGAGAGAGAAAGATAGAGAGAATATATATATATATATATATATATATATATATATATATATATATATATATATATATATATATATATATATATATATATATATATATATATGTATGTATGTATGTATATTAACAGTTACTTTAGAATTCAGAATTCATATTAAGATTTAAAACATTTACTTCTGAAATCAATTTAACTGTGTCTGTATGAACTGTACACAATCTCTTTTCTTGACAGGTTTTGCAGTGGATTTTGGCAAACCTGCCAGATGGAGAGAGAAAAATTCAGCTGAAGGAACTGTTGGATGGGAAGTCCTATAAAGTGGGATACAAACATTATGACTGGGGGCTCAATTCCTAAATTATCTCACCATTCCACATTAATGTGCTTTTTTTTTTTTTAGATCACACAATCTTTACTTCATATGACAGTGATATGCCACAATCTTGAATGGACTCTGTGGACTATCATTACAAAACTCAGGCAGTATAGGCTTATCTCTGACATATGAATTAATCATGATCTACATTTATACTGACACACATTTCAATTTCAAAGATGATTGGATGTGTTGTCACTGACATTGCACAATCTGTCATACAAGAGTAGAAATGACATACATTTTACTGTGATAGACATTACTACTTACTTAACAATTTCCTTTCTTTCAAATAAACATAGGCATAAAAGAAGAAAGTTATTAAAACTTTGAACTACATGTATATACAAACTAGAAGTACCTTATAAAAGAAACCAGTTGTGTGACTACAGTATTGTTTTTCTTGTACTTTTTTCCTAAGATAATTTTAAATATAGTTTAAAATCAAACTTGAATTATCTGTAGTGAATGCAAACTTGATAAAAGATCTGTAAATTAAGCATAATATGTTGAAAGTTTGCAGTTGGTAATGTTATTCAGTCCTTGTAACTACTCCTTCATTTTTGTTTTGATCATTTGTGTAATATTTGCAGTTGGTAATGTTATTCAGTACTTATAACTACTCCTTCATTTTTGATCATTTGTGTAATATTTGCAGTTGGTAATGTTATTCAGTACTTATAACTACTCCTTCATTTTTGATCATTTGTGTAAAGTTTGCAGGGGTATTGATATTCAGTACTTGTAACTACTCCTTCATTTTTTGATCATTTGTGTAAAGTTTGCAGGGGTATTGTTATTCAGTACTTGTAACTACTCCTTCATTTTTGATCATTTGTGTAATGTTTGCAGTTGGTAATGTTATTCAGTACTTGTAACTACTCCTTCATTTTTAGTTTAAAATATATTTATTCATTACAGATGAAATGGATTGAACGGCAGGCATAATGCCTATAATCGTTCTGTCCATTTCATTTTTGATCATTTGTGTAATGTTTGCAGGGGGTATTGTTATTCTGTACTTGTAACTACTCATTAGTTTTTGATCATTAATTTTGTGAAATGTTTGCAGTTAGTAATGTTATTCAGTACTTGTAAAGGTCTACTCCTTCATTTTTGATCATTTGTGTAATGTTTGCAGGGGGTATTGTTATTTTGTACTTCCAATTACTCCTTCATTTTTGATCATTAATTTTGTGTAATGTTTGCAGGGGGTATTGTTATTCACTACTTGTAACTGTTCCTTCATTTTTTATCATTATTGTAATGTTTGCAGGGGGTATGGTTATTTTGTACTTCTAATTACTCCTTCATTTTTAAAGAAAGTGCTCTTTGTAGTTTTTGGTATGTGTCTTTATTTTTACCATGTCAAAGAGAAAATGTCAAATTTAATAAGATATTTTTTTTTTTGGATTGTGATTAAACCATGACATTATATTACAATATATACTTTCTAGTAATATATTATGTGTTATGTATTATACTCTCTTTTGTTTATAGGTATTGTGTTTATAAATGTATTGATATTACTAGTATTTTTCATTTTATACTGTATGCCTTTATGTTGTTTATAGAATATATATAGATATATATAATAAATTGAATATATATTTTTTTTTTATTTATTTTTATTTTTGAATATATATTCAATTGAAAATGTTTTTTTAATTGTTGGGATGATTTGTATGTTAATTGAAACATTTCATATAAAGACTAATGCATACATAGGTTATCAGAAAATTAGCTTGTTTAGTAATTTCATCATAAATGAATACAGAAAAAAGGGTGGTTTAAGGTTTTATTATCAATAACTATTTATGCCAGCCATTCTATTACTATTACAAAAACACACAGAAGATTCATCCTCATAGATTTATTACCATTAAATTGGTCAGGTGGGAGAAAATGGAGAGCCATTATAGACTTTATTGTATATTTTACATAAAATCTCAAGAGGTTTATTTAAATCAGTGGTGGGTCACAGTGAGTAATGAAGAACTTCAGATTGAACACAAAAGATAAAATGTAGCGTATCATTTAATAACAGATTAATGAGAAGTACTTATGTAGATTTTTATTTAAATGTTCTTATGAAAAAAAATTAACAGAGAAATGTCCTTAACGTGGAATATTTTGACAGTCCTTAAGAGCTACATGTATTTTCTGCAATCACTTAAACTTCTTTGTTTAAGTGATTCATGATTCTAAGCATGATCACCAATTCTGATGAAACTTTGCTTATTATTACAATATAACTACTTGACACCAGAAACATATATCGAATAAAATTTGGTTGCTATGTGTCTTGGTTGCCATGGTAACAGCTGAAAAAGTTTGAAAATTTGAGATTTTCACTTACTTTGAATCTTTATAGAATCTTAATAAAGACTAAGAAAACCAAACAAACCATTCTCACAAAATCATGACACCTTGTTGCCACTTATGCTGTAAAAAACTAGAATCTATTTCTAAGTAAATGGTAACCATGGGTACATTTAGAATACATTTTAAATACTAAAAATTGCGGGAAAATGCTCAATATTCACTTATGTTTTCTACTTCGCCAACTGTGAAATTGATTTGAAAACCATTTTTGTGTATACTCGCACGTTGAAATTTTCGCGGAGAAACTCGCGCTAAAGCGACGTCACAATGAGGCTACAAAGACTTGCATGTAGGTATAATTTTCATGAAGCGCTATAGCGCGCTTCATGAAATATGCCTACGTGACAAGTCTGTGTGATTTACACACCAATAACTTACACAAAACTTAAAAACATTTCTTAAATGTGTCTTGTTACATGATCAAACTCAATGAACAACTAAAAGAACAAGCATTCTGAGAGTATTGCATTAGCAATACTAGTCCCCTACCGGCAAGTGTAATCTGGTTCCCGTTAAGAATTGAAAATGCCATAATTCTGTCAAAAATTAATGAAGCGGGACAAAATGCAAACTTGGTCTATAACTAATCAAGGTAAAGCCACATACCAAAAATCAGCTCAATATCTACAAGCGTTTAGAAGAAAATTGTGGAAAACCCCTAAAAATTGAAAAGGCCGTAATTCCGTCAAAAATCAATGAAGCGGAACGAAATGCAAACTTGATCTGTAACTCATCAAGATACACTCACATACCAAAATCAGCTCAATATCTGCAGGCGTTTAGGAAAAAAAGTGCGGAAAACCAAGTGGGACAGACTGACAGACAGACAGACGGACGGACAGACTCAGAGGAAACCTATAGTCACCTCCGGTTTCACCGGTAGGGGACTAAAAACAATAAAAATATCTGACTTTAAATTATTAGGTATTGGCAATATTCTAAAAACAACTTTCATGGTTGCCATGGTAACACAGTGTAGCCATACAAAATTTGTTGCTATGTTTTGATTAACCCTACTTTCTTGCAGAAAAACATGTAAATTCAAGACTGACATATATACATCGTTAGAACCTTATAACACAGCTTAAGAAAAAAAATGAAATTAACTGCTTCTTTGCCTTGTAACCATGAAAACAACGTACCAGTGGCTTAATTAAGGGGAAGAATGACCTTGAGCTGAAAAAATACTTGTCATTGATGTTTTTTGTTTCTTTAGGAATTTAATTATCCTTTAATCCAGAAAAATTATTTGACTCACCTTGAATAGTACTTATGTGATAGAACTAAAGTTGAATATCATATATTGATGAAGTTTGATGAAAAAATAACTCTGCGATGGTAACCAAGAAGAGAAAAATTTGCAAACTTTACGTGGCAGATTCTTGCATCCAGTTATCGATTGTGTGTTAGTCATAATTGAAAGTCAGGTTAGTTGTTCATAAACATCAATCATAAAAGTTTTGGGAATCTATATACAAGGGTAGGTATCGAAAGAAACAAAATATTTTTCAGCTTTTTATACAAATTTTTTCCGCTGATTTCCCCAGCAACGCTCTATTTAAAGAATTTAATTAGAATGTTTTGAAATGTAAAATTAGGACCACACCAACGCTTTTAAAATTAATCTCCACCTATAGATAGAAATCTGATTTTTTTTTTAAAGATAGGATCAAATATAAACATACAGAGAGTAAATTTGAAATTCCTTCAGGGTATTAAAACCATGGCAACCATTGTCAATCAATAAGAGATAACATATATATCCTTGGTGTATGTTACAAGGATCTATCTCTATTATTTGGTTGCATTTCAACCTATAATTGCTTTTAATTTTGAGTTTACACTGTATGACTTTGCAAAGATGAACGAATAAAATTATTACTTTTAAATACTTTGTTTCCATAGTTACACATGTAATAGTTGATTTCCCACATGTGTTTATCATGCATTTAGGACATCAGACCTTCAACCTTTGGAAACAGTTCTTGCACTTGTTTGCATTGCTGTAAACATTAGCTATGGGATTCTGAACATGTTGAAAAATGCTATATTTATAACGTTAGGGCATGTTGCCATGGTAACCAGGGCATATAGCAACCAATTTTTACCATGTGTAAGTTTACGGTATCAAAGACTTTCATCAAACAGAGTTAGAAGAAATTCTAAGACTATGTGCGCCACAGCTCCTATATGAAATTTCAAGTCATTACAGAAAATGGCTCTTAATTGGTAACTTTCTGATGAACAAAGGTTATAAAAGTTATATTGAAGTCATTTACGTTGTATATATAAGATTTACGTCATCAAGGAAGTTATTCCCCTCTGTTTGGCCACAGATGAGATTGAAGTTGGCAAGACATTGTCCTCTTCTCGGCGTTTTAACTGTATCTCACATGATGTATATAGATAGAACACATTAAATGAGTGTGAGTACTCATAAATAAATTTGCATTCTTGATGAGGACAGTACTTAAAATGAACAGGAACTCAATGATATACAGAGTACTTCCCTAGGAATATTGTAATGACTGCAATGAAATATGATGTCATAAATGATAATGAAGTAAAATTTATTTCCTTAACAAGAGGCTCAAGGGCCTTATTGGTCACCTGAGTGTAAAC